GCTTATCCCTTACAGAATTTTTGGCCAAAAAATAGAGTTTGTTCAAAATCTCAGAAAAGGTGCTCCTGAATATGCTGCTTAAGGATCTTTTAACCCAAACTTTATATCTGGATTATTGCTTGTGCAAATGATTTTTAGAAATTTTTAATTACTTTTGCAATGCTAATTACTCGCCACTTATGGGTTTTCGAGGTCATTTCTTGGTGCATGTGTATTATTCTGGATGTACTTAAATAGTTAGGCACATTAAGGCACATTAGGCACATGCCCTACAGACCTGACCTCCTGGGGACACATTATACATGCACTACAGCCCTGACCTTCTGGGAGATACACACATATGCCCTACAGCCCTGTGTCCCTGGAGGACAAACACATCCCCTACAGTCCTGACCTCCTGGGGGATACACAAACACAGATGCCCTACAGCCCTGACCTTCTGGGGGACACACACACACACCTATGCCGTACAGCCCGGTGTCCCTGGGGGACAAACAAATCCCCTACAGCCCTGACCTCCAGGGGGACACACACATGTCCCAGAGTCCTGACCTCCTGGGGGACACACACATGCCCTACAACCTTGACCTCCTGGGGGAACACACATGCTCTACAGCCCTGACCTCCTGGGGGACACACACACATGCCCTACAGCCCTGAACCCCTGGGGACAAAAACACAACCCCTACAGCCCTGGGGAAGAAACATGCCCTACAGCCTTGACCTCCTGGGGGACACATACAAATGTCCTACAGCCCTGACTTCGTGGGGGACACAAACACGCCCTTCTGAGTTGCTCATACTGCTATGAAATATGGCACGGGTTATAGAATATTTGTGACCATCAGAAAGTGTAAAATGATTATAGTAACTTTGTTATATTGAAAATACTTAGCCCCCTCCCGCACCAGTGGCCGCGGGGGAGGGTGGATCAGGTGGATAGGGTAGAGGGGCATATTATAATTCTTCTAATACTGTAGTGGCTTTGTATGACGTCATTGCTCCTTGGTCAATGAAATACTAAGGGATCGAAGAATGAAATGCAAAACCGGCAATACTCAGCCAATGAGGAATAGAGTATATGATGTAATGCATGACCATGTACTGTAGAGTGCTCTCAGTATACTGGTTTATTATTCTCGCGCGGTTGTCCCATCGACCCTAAAGGGTCATTTATTATTTGTTGTAAAAAATTTCTCTCAACATGGTCATACACCCCTCAACGGATCTACGTGATTCACATGGTTTGCCTAAAATGATGGAAAACCGGAGAAATCACATCCCTGTATGGTAGAGATAGAGGTACCAAAGAAATGCTTTTGGAGTGAAAAATAACAAAATCCAGCTTTCCATTGTAGTGATACCTCTATTTAATGGACTATACAGAGATGAAAGTTTATTATATCGAGGGTCCACCAGATATGAAACCTCCATTTCACGGATTATATGGAGAGAGAAGTATTTTATATGGAGGTTTCACCATACTGTATGGAGTTTCTTAAGTTAATGGATAATAAAAAGTCTGAACTATCTCTTGGTTTTACTGACACTGATACATACAAATTATTAAGGAATTTATTAACAGATGATTGGAAAAAATTAAATTTTACATAAAATATACAGAACCGTACTGATAAAAAATTAATCTTTTTACTTTAAAACTCTTAATAAAAGTATCAAGCACTGTACAATATCTTCCCTTTGTACATTTCACTAAAAGTCTACTTAATGATCTTTTAAGTGAGAATTCTACATGTACCTGAACAACAATGATATAACTTTTTTATTTTTTCTTGGGAGCCGCTGTGAAAAACTGTGAGATGGTTTTCTGTTTCTTGGTATCGGGTGATTTTTCTACCAGCCCCATCTTCTTCTCATTCTATAAAATGAAAACAATGAAATACAGTTGTCATCAAAACTTATATACAACATAAGAAAAAACACTACGAACTATTAATATGACATTACGTACTTCTATCTGCACTTTCTCACTGTGTCTGAATCTGAGCATAATCTCTTCACTACAGGGATGCCACTTTTAATATTTTATTTGACAAATACCAGATGATTTTATTCAGCTAAGAAGGGACCCCTAGAATGCAAAAATAAAAGAATGGCATTTCAGTTATACAGTATTCATTTTCTAACATAACTATCAGAGTTCAGGATGAAATTTTACCTCACGTATTTTGCATCTAGACTCAATGCAAAGGCTAAGTGACAGTCAGTTCTGCTATAACGCGATAGTTGTGTTCTTGTAAAACATCGTGTTATAGAAATTCGTGTAATAGAAATAACAGGGCTTATGGAGAAAATAGGGTTAGGTGCAGATTACCACTCAAAATCGAAAAAAATTTTGTAGTTAGCCTAACACAAAGGATAGCACAGTCTAAATAAATGTTACATTCATATCTAGTAATGAAATCATACAGTAAATGTAACACTTACCTTGAAAAAATATGAATATAACTTGATGGGGGAGAAGGTTGATGTTGAGGTTGCAGACAGGATTTGACAGTTGTCATCGTCATCATCAGTATCATCATCAGGTGCAGTTTTTCTTTAGGTCCTCATATATTGGTAAGGCTTTCTCTTTAATGGTGAGGAAGCTGGTCCCAGATCGCTTTTTCGTTTGATCTTCTATCCAAACGCTTAGAAGCCATTCCATCTCCTCAAGTTCTTTGGCCGTGGTCTCACACTTTTGCTAGCACTCAAGGTTTTTCCAGCAATACAGCTTGCTTTAATCTTTGCTGCATTGTCTCTTATGGTGCGTAAAGTAGATTCCTTTATTCCCGTTGCACGCACAATATCACATGTTCTTTCCTTATTTTCAAAACGATTGACAACATCAAGCTTTTCTTCAAGTGTTATAGCCTTTCTTTTACGATCACCACCGGAAATGCGATCACCAGAACGCTTCCCGGAGACATTCTTCTTTTCCATAGTCACAAAATTGGAGAAACAGTAATCAGAAATCACTGAAGACGCTTAAAAATTTCACACGTGTTTCAGACTGATTGTGTGGAGTAAACAGAGCGCGCGGGTCTAAAACGCTACGTATTTTGTTTTTCACTCTTATTTAAAATTTTACAATTTACATATACTGTACAGGTATACTGTATACATAAATATTACATTAATTATTTCTGCAATTGTTCACAAACAAAACACATAAATCAATTGAACATGTGATGTCGAACGTGAACTGTAAACACTGCATAACCCCGCGCCAAGCGACAACACTGTACAGTACACTTTAAACGCTACGTATTTTGTTTTTCTCTCTTATTTAAAATTTTACAATTTACATATACTGTACAGGTATTTCTTCACAAACAAAACACATAAATCAATTGAGCATGTGATGTCGAACGTGAACTGTAAACACTGCATAACCCCGCGCCAAGCCACAACAACCTTTCGAGTGGAATCGTGTTAGAGCAAACGCGTTCGCGTTTTACAAATATTGTTCCTTTATTCATCAATCGCGTTAGAGCCAATTCGCGCTGTCAAAACACGCGTTATAGCAGAACTGACTGTATCCCCATTCTACCACTTGTGACTTTTATATCATACCTGTACGTAGGTCCACATGAAATCAAAAGTATCTGTGTACATTGGGTCCGGTGACTTTGTAAATGTTCAATATAGTACACCTATGCCACAATGTAACTACCAATATGAACCATGCTATATATTTTCTTCTGAATGTGCATATAATAACAATACTTACTATGGATAAAACAAAAATTGTTACTAGCAAGTGATATATGGCATTTTGCAATATCCATCGTTTGTGGTGTCAGATTGCTACATGCAAAATATGCACAGAAACTTTTTAATCATGTACACAAATGCTGACCTTTCATCTTAAAAAAAATTTGAAAATGGAACTTTCCTTCTAAACTATGAAGCTTTTACCTAAATCTAAATTTTCCTTTCTTGGCCAGTGTAAATATCAATTGAATTGTGCATCTTACAATAAACTAACCTTGTTCTTCTCTTCTGAAACTTCCACAGCTTTTAATACCTGGAAAGAATAAAATTGTACAATGTGTATTATTCTTTTCTTACCAATTACTATAAATAACGTGAACCTCAAACAATAAACCAACTGTTGATTCACCTGAACCCTGAGAAGTCAACCAAGATCTGAATATACAGTAAAAAGAAGTTCTGGAATGTGAGGCATAAGTTAAAAACTAAATTTATAAATAATTTTTTCAGTGCAGAGACAAATCAAGATACCGGTGATTTTGTTCAAAATCTTAGTACTGTATAGGTACTCCTGTGCATGCCGATGTCCGAATTTATTGTCAACAGTTCGAGTGCGGAATAACTAGCGGTCAAAATGATGCTTGGAAGATTTTAATGACATTTTACTCAATGCTAATTACTGTATTCGCCAACTATATTGGTTTCCGAGGTGATTAGTTAGTGATTTTATGTTATTGTGGATCTACAGGACTTAATTGATGAAATTAATCCCACCAAATTTCAAATTTGAGAGAAAATCATATTTGGGTGAAAAAACGCGTAAGGGTTTCAAGGCAGACACAAAATGCAATATATGCGATTTTGTTCAAAATCTCAGTATAGGTACTCCTGAGCATGCCGATTCCGAATCTATTATCGACAGTTCGATTGAGGAATAATTAGTGGTACTAATGACACTTGAAATATTTTAATGACATTTTTCTCAATGCTTATTTCCGTACTTGTACTTGCCAAATATTAGTTTCAAAGGTGATTGGTTGGCTCTTTTATGTTCTTCTGGATGTACTTACCAGTAATTACTGAAATTAATCCCACTAAATTTCAAGTCTGAGAGAAATCATATTTAGGTGAAAAAACGCTTAAGGGTCCCCCTTAGAGATTTTTTTCAGGGCCGAAACAAATCACGATATATGCGGTTTTGTTTAAAATCACAGTATAGGTACTCCTGAGCATGTCGATTCCGAATCTATTATCAACAGTTCGATTGCAGAATAATTAGTGGTCATAGTGCTTGTTAGGTTTTAATGAAAATTTTTTCAATTCTAATTACAGTATACTGCACTCGCCAACTAATGGTTTCTGAGGCAATTGGTTGGAGTTTTTATGCTCTTCTTGATGTATTTAATTAAAGAAATTAATCCCATCAGATTTAAAATGTGAGAGATTTGTTTCGGCCCGAAAAAATCTGTAACTAGGAACCCTTACGCGTTTTTCCACCCAAATATGATTTTCTCTCAGACTTGAAATTTGGTGGGATTAATTTCAGTAATTAAGTACATCCAGAAGAACATAACAACACCAACCAAATACCTGAGAAACCAATAGTTGGCGAGTAATGAAATACAGGTAAGCATTGAGAAAAATTTCATTAAAATAGTCCAAGCATCATTACGACCACTAATTATTCCGCAATCGAACTGTCGATGATAGGATCGGAATCAGCATGCTCAGGAGTACTTATACTGTGATTTTGAACAAAATCACGTATATCGCGTTTTGTCTCGACCCTGGAAAAAACGTGTAAGGGGGGAAGGGAACCTTACACGTTTTTTCACCCAAATATGATTTTCTCTCAGACTTGAAATTTGGTGGTAATAATTTCAGTAATTAAATACATCCATACGAACATAAAAACACCAACCAATCACCTTGGAAACCAATAGTTGGTGAGTACTGAAATAAGCATTGAGAAAAATTTCAATAAAATATTCCAAGGGTCATTACGACCATTAATTATTCCACAATCGAACTGTCGATAATAGATTCGGAATCAACATGCTCAGGAGTACCTATACTATGATTTTCTAACAAATCGCAAATATCGCGATTTGTCTCGGCCCTGAATACGGTATATGATTTTCTCTCAGATCTGAAATTTGGTGGGATTAATTTCAGTAATACACCTTTTTTCAATTGCAATTGAACAAAGTTACTTTTGGTTTCAACATCTTCGAATGGAATCAACATTCTTACACTTGATTAATAACAATCTTTACTTTCCGTTCAACAATCATCCAAAACTTTTCAACAGTCGTTCAACACGTGACAATGTTTACTTGCTTTCAACAATCGTCTCATTCTTCATTGACAATTCACTAATACTTTCAACATTTTACAAAACTAAGTAACAATCTTTAAAACATCATAACTATGCAAAAAGTTTATGTTTTGGTGTTTTTCGTAGATCGAAAGACTAGTTGATCTAATTCGAACTTTTGAAGCAAGTAACGAATCACCGAGTCGAGATGGTGTGCTACACACTCAGTATTTTCATTACGAGTGTGCAGCTTCTCCCGTATACAGTTCGTCGCCGAGCCCCTCCAGCATGCCAAGGAGGCACCGAATTGCGCGGCACCAGCAAGATTACATCGAGGCCTGGCGAGCCGCATCAAGATCAGAGTTGCAGCAGCTCTTGAGTTCATGCGACCATTTGCACACTTATCAGCAGTATACCAAATGCCAAAGGAAGCCGAAGCGGCTCACGCAGGAAGCAGACACAAGATCATCGACAATGAAACTCTGGATCTAATAGTGATGCTGCTTGAAGCAAACCCTATGATGACCTTGAGAGAGATAAAGGAGGAGGTCATGGATATATTTCCTACAAAACCACATTTCAGTGAGGTAACGCTTTCGCGTTATTTGGAGGGGGAACTGATATCACTGAAAATGTCCCGTGACTCCCCAGCAGAAAGAAATTCTCCCGCAGTAAAGGAGGCGAGACACGCATACGCTACGTGGATGCTGGCAACGGGTCTACAGCAGCAACTAGTATACATTGATGAGACAGGTATGTAATTATGTAACCACTTATCAACTATCTGTAGTATGTACTACATAATTACTTAAGTAAACTGTATGTAACGAGTGAGTATTTAATATTGACCTCAGTTTGATGCATCGTACAACTTTCCTTGTGTTAATGTTTAATTACATTACAGTATGACTACATACACTGATGTTTCATTTCCAGGGTTCAATCTGTGGACCAAGAGGACGTACGGCAGGGCAAGACGCGGGGAGCGTGTGCATCGCGCCGTTGGTGGACAGCGTGGCAGAAACACGACAGTGATTGCTGCGATAGCTGAACACTGTGGAATACTCTATCACGAAATTCACTATGGTTCAGTGACGAAGGAAGTATTCAGTGATTTCATCGCATCACTTGCAGCAATAATCGGAGACGCAAGATCCATACTTGTTCTAGACAACTCTCCAATTCACAACGGTATCGCAGCAGTCTATCCCGAGCTGAATTTTAAATTTCTCCCTCCATACTCTCCTTGCTTGAACCCCATAGAAAACTGTTTCTCTGTGTTTAAATCATACCTGAAGCAGTAACTCCACCGTGAAGCTCCACGGTGCAACGCAGCCCACGCCAGGCAAGAAGGAGTGACCCTCAATACACTGAGGGAGAACATTTTGCAAGTTGGCATGGAATTTGCACTGCCTAGTGTCATGGAACATGTTGTGTCACAGAACTATAACCATGTCAACACCTACTTGGTTCAATGTATTGAGCGCCGAGACATCTTCAATTGATATACAGTAGGTCTACAGTAATAGAGTATAACCTACTGCCTTACCATTTGTTCCACTTGAAACAATTCACAACAAAAACCTTCTATACACTCATGGGTTCTTTTTTACCTGACAGGTTACTATTCGTGAGGCAGAGGAGGAAGGCAAGTCAACGGGATGCTGATATGACACTCCTCTCCCCAATCCCACTACCCCTCCCACCCTCACCTACCTCCATCCCTACCTTACAGCCAGGCAGAAACAACCCACCAAGGTGTACGAGGCCTTTACTGTGAATTGCTTCGTGGAAGTATCATGACACCAATGTATTTAGCTATTAGTATAAGGCCCTTTTTTCTTTGTTTCTTTTTAAGCAATCGTATGTTTTATGTAGCTACTACATACTAAAGACTAAAGACATTACATAATTACATATGTTTATACCAGAATTCATTGTGTTGTTGATGTTTGTGTAAGTATACTCAAAAATTAAATATTCATGGCTGTTACTGATTTTAAAGATTGTTGAATAAATTCTTTCCAATGATGATTGTTTCAGTCGCATTGTTGAAAAGTTTGGTTGACTGTTGAATGCAATCGGAGATATGTGGCTGTTGAAAGGTTTTGTAAATTGTCAAATCAAAATAACTGATTGTTGAATGGATTCAGAAAATAGTTGAAAGCAAATAGAAATTTGTCATTCCAAAATCTTGATTGTTAAAGGCAAGTGGTCAATTGTTCAATTGCAAATGAAAGAAGGTGTAAGTACATCCAGAAGAACATAACAACACCAACCAATCACCTGAGAAACCAATAGTTGGCGAGTACTGAAATAAGCATTGAGAAAAACTGTCATTAAAATATTCCAAGCATCATTACGACCACTAATTATTCCGAAATCAAACTGTCGATGATAGCTACGGAATTGACATGCTCAGGAATACCTATACTGTACTGAGATTTTGAACAAAATCGCATATATCGCGATTGGTCTCGGCCCTGAAAAAATCTGTAAAGAGGGGTACACCTTTTTTCATCCAAATATTATTTTTTTCTCAGACTTGAAATTTGGTGGGATTAATTTCAAGTGTGCGTGTCTACGTTGCCTGACATCATCATCGAATAGAGGAACACTGGGACTATGGAATGACATAGAATATGGGAAATTGAGCAACACAGTGATACTCCCTCGCTAATGTAAACACCGCATACTACAGTGCTGTGTTAAGTGAGACCCCTTATACCTTCTTCATGGCAGTTGATGTAGCAGAGGTGACGAACTCTTTTCTGGTCATCCACTGGCCACCTTGGTATCGTGATGGCCAAGTTAACCCTTTTTGATCATCCAGTAAGATTTTGTACACCCTGAATATCAAACAGAAATGTTACTGGATATACTACTCACACACACACACATACATATAAAAATAATCATTTTTTTTTGTACAGTTGCCTTCAATTACTTTTTGTATATTTGGTACATTTCAGTACAGTGGCTGGCATGTTTTGTGAGATGTGACAACTCTGTGGAAGGCTTATCTACCATTCTTAGTCTGGTTATTACTGTAAAGTTCCTTCGGGGCTATTTTAGTAGTTTTAATACTATGCAAACAAACATAGACTGCCACATCAAAATATGCACCAGACAATGCACTTGGTATAGGTGCAGATGATTGAACATGTTTTATTAACAAACCCAAATTAAACAATACTTTTTCTTACTTGTATGTCTGCCTAATGTGAGAGAAAATGTGGATAACATCAGCAACAAAAATTCTTGAAGAAGACAATGAACTTGGAACAGCAAACTGGTTGATTAATTGCTCAGTTACTTCTTTCTCTTGATGACTGTCACCATCTGTCAATGCAATGCTTGGAAACTCCCATAAATTTGCTAATAAACCTGTAGAAATAAATAAAATATTGTATACACAGACAATCAACTTAAAAGTATGTATAAAATACACTGAAAACTCTACTTTAAACTTCTAAAATCAAAATATACAAATATCCAAAAAAAAATCATATATTTCCAATCATACAAACACATACCAGTAATCATTCTGCCACTCCTATACTCACAGCACTAAGACAGAACTTTCAACAAATAATCTAGATTACAATATTCTATGTGGGACAAATATGATGAAAAATTACATTACAGTGGTCCCTCGGTTAACGAATGCCTCGGTTAACGAAATTTCGGTTAACGAATTACCTTCCATAAGAATATTCAATTTGGTTAACGAACAAAAATTCGGTTAACGAAATTCTTACGAAAATGGTTTGACATGCTTTGGCTTGCTCACCAGCTGGAAGATTAGTCCGCCAATACAGAAATCGGTTCTAGGGCTTACATTCGTTAAAATTGGAGTAAATATCAAGAAGGTTGTACAATTCAATAATTTTCCAAGTTTTATATTAATTTTTTTAGTCATTTTAACACTTATTTAACATAATTACAGTACAGGGAACTAGTTTTTGGTGCGCCCAACAGCCACTTCACTCACCCATCAAGGCCTCAGTTGGTGTCTCTGTTCAGTGGAGGAAACATCTTGCTTGTGGGTCTCTTGAACACAGAGTATTTTTACGTACAATTATTGGTCATTCTGAAATTTATTTAACATATTGACAATATATAGTGCAGTGCAGTGTTGAATTAAGTGCAGTGCAGTGTTGAATTAAGTGCAGTGCAGTGTTGAATTAAGTGCAGTGCAGTGTTGAATTAAGTGCAGTGCAGTGTTGAATTACACCTAGTGAACTTAAAATTTTATGGGTGAAATGGCATCAAGCATGGGGTGATTTCTCTTTCACCCCCACTTCCTTCTCTTCTCCCTTCTCCTCCACCCCCACTTCTAATTCCCATCATCATCATCATCATCATCAACCAGGAGCCTTCTACATACACACCTCAACGTAAGTGTACTTTACTGCATTTTTTTTTTACTTTGTATGTAATTTTCGGTGAGCTGGAACCAATTACAGTCAGTTCTGCTATAACGCGATAGTTGTGTTCTTGTAAAACATCGTGTTATAGAAATTTGCGTAATAGAAATAACAGGGCTTATGGAGAAAATAGGGTTAGGTGCAGATTACTACTCGAAATCGAAAAAAATTTAGTAGTTAGCCTAACACAAAGGATAGCACAGTCTAAATAAATGTTACATTCATATCTAATAATGAAATCATACAGTAAATGTAACACTTTATCTTGAAAAAATATGAATATAACTTGATGGGGGAGAAGGGTGATTTTGAGGTTGATAACATCGAGCTTCTCTTCAAGGGTTATAGCCTTTCTTTTACGATCATCACCGAGAATGCGATCACCAGAACGCTTCTTGGATATATTCTTCTTTACCATATTCACAGTTAATACCACAAAATTGGAGAAATAGTAAGCAAAAATCGCGTTACAGTAAACAAGCGTTCGCGTTATACAAATATCGTTCCTCTATTCATAAATCGCGTTAGAGCCAATTCGCGCTGTCAAAACACGCGTTATAGCAGAACTTACTGTACCCAAAATGCCATTGAAACAATGGTTTCGGTTAACGAAATTTTAGATTAATGAACGACCTTCTGGAACGAATTGTGTTCGTTAACCGAGGGACCACTGTACAAAATATAAGTCTACAAATGTTATTAAGTCTCGATTACAAAAGTACAGTACACCCGGATTATTCGGCGATTTTTATTTCACGGTCCTCTATTATTCGCGGATGACTCCCTGGATGTACTGTACCCAAGAATGTTTGCAGGTAGTTTGGAAATTACCGACATTTTTGCAGCCGGGACAGGGAGCCATTCGTTCTAGAGACAGTAATTTCCTTTACCTGTATTGTATATATACTGTATATACACACACACACACACACACACACATATATACAATACATACATGTATATATAATCAAACAAATTTATTAAAAATGTGAGTCTACCCTCAAGTCTACTTCGTGCTTTGTTATTAATAAAGCATGGGGCAGACTGTCACATTTTTAATCAATTTGTTTTGGATTATTTATCTGTATATGTTTTGTGTGTGTGTCTACACTCACACGCATATATACAATACAGGTAAAGAAAATTACTGTCTCTAGAACGAATGGCTCCCTGTCCCAACCGCAAAAATTCCAGCAACTTTAAAACTACCCACAGATATTCTTGAGTACATCCAGGGTGTCATCCGCAAATAATATGAGGACAGCAAAATAAAAATCTGCGAATTATCCGGGCGTACTGTACAGGTAAAAGAAATAATCGTCCTAAGGGCAAACAACTAAAGGGAATACACATTTCTTTGTACACAAGTAAAAATGTACCCCCCCACCCGGTCAGCAAATGTTATTCGCGGATTGGGCGATTCGCGGCCATTTTGAGAACCTATACCTCGCGAATTTGGAGGGCATGCTGTACTGATATTAAGAGTCTAACACGATCTATAAAACAACAAAAACTTTAAAAAAATTTTAAGCTTAGATATAATGGCAAAATACATTCCATCCAGCAGCACATAGAATTTGGCAGATGCTCCTCTGAAATCAGGCGACTGAGCATCTAACCCACAGGTGATAAATCCATATGACCTTATAATTGGTGTCATACTCACAGTTGACCTGGTTAATAATACAGTAGTGGTCACCAGCACTACTGTACTTCCAAGGTGTGTCACATGTAGAATATTGTGTCAGGTCAATGTAGCACACAGGACTTGGATAAGTTAAGGGTGAGCTTTGGACACACTTGAGGGATGGGCACAAGTAACTTTGAAATTTTGAAAATTATCTTGAGAAATAATGTATCATAGACTACATTACAAAATGAAAAGAATATATGAGAAAAAAAAAGAAGTAAAGATTGGGACATCACTTAAAGATTAGCCTCCTTATTTCATATTGAGATTAATCACCCTAAAGCTAACCTAACACCCCAGACGTATCACTAGAGTTTAATCATCCGGAGCAATAACTTAAAGAGCATCTAATCTTCACATAAACAGTATTAAGTCTCACCTTTCTTGGGTCGCTGTACTAGGAGCATCTCTCCACTGTTACCCTGCAACACTACAACAGCTGATGCCTTCTGTCTTGACTGAGTCTTCTGAGCTTTACGGGGATAGTTCTGAACACCAAGACTGTGGATAAAATTACCATAATGAGCAAATAAACTTTTTTCTTTACATAAATCAATTGTTCATGTACAGTAGATACACCAAAGGTACTACTACACCCTACAGTAATGAAGGTTAGGTTATACAAAATGTCTTCTCATTAATTAAAATCATCCCATCATACACAACTACAGTATCTAGTTCCTCTCTCTGTCTCCGCTATTTGTTCTGTTCTTACTCTCCAACACTGGCTATGTTATATTTTTCTCAGGTTTACATTATAAGTTAAAAATATTTGTCATTTTCTTTTATGGTTTCACTACTTAAGTTTTCCATCTTTTCCTTCCCTTTACTTTCTACATTTTATATAGTAAGTTTACTGAAGTTATTACAGTACGTACATTCGCTCCAAAAGGTATCCTTACAATTTTAAGTGAGACGATTTGACACAACGAACGAAGGATTTTGACAACCCTACAGAGACAAAAGGAGTCGCAGTGTTCATTTTGAAATTCATCAGACACCTCCATAAAAATACCTCCTGGAGTGAGTATACACATAATGATAACTAACTACCTAATATGGGAAAATGAATCACAATACTGGGTTAAAGTCACAGGAATCCTACAGCATAGAACGCAGTGGGATCACAGTCTAAACTAAGGCTGCTTCACCTGCTGTCCCAGTCCTCCTTGCGAAGACACAGGGCACACTCAGGCACTGCAATGGGGGATAAGAGTGTCATCAAAAATCACTAAAACCAGTGTTAGTTTTTCACTCATACTTTCCTCAATGACAAATTCTATCACATTCAGTTTATAACCAAATTACAGTGAAACTTCTGTACAACAGACTTTCTCCCCCCACATAATCTGTTTGATGGGGATTTCACATTTAATGGACCCTCGATAGAAAAGGACTCTCATCTCTATATAGTTCGTTAAATAAAGGCGTCACTGCAGTATATATAAAAAATTAAGAGAAAGGCAAAAGACATACTGTACATAGGGATGGACTCACAGCATTCAATGTCAGGAACAGCAGAGGATTCTGAGGGCATCTTTCTCTTCTTAAAATGATTGGTTATGGATGCCCTTTCCTGTTGGTCTCCACTCCGATGATGGGAGACGCAGTGAACACTAAGAGGACACGAGTTACAACTGGGGTTCTGAAATACAGCCATACCAGATCATATTTGTGTGTATGTGTGCGTGTTACTTCACAATAAATCCGTCTATCCATCCATCCCAAGTAGTTATCGGGTCAAGTTTTACAGAAGTTGTGGTTATTACCTTAGGTGTGCAGACAGTGGCTCCAAATTCCATCATTGCTTGGTTAAAATCTCCTGGTCTGTCCGAGTCAACTAACTGGTTGGCCAAAGTCCACATGTGCTCTGTTGTTGACTGGAAACATAAATACATGCAACAATAAAAGTAAAACAAAGACGAATACAATCATAAAATGGACAAAACTATTAAGAAGAATTAAAAGATAAAATTATGGTGATAGAAGGGAGATGACAAAACAGAAACCTAACCTAACCCTCACTCTTTTGATGCAGTCATTATTTCAGTACAAGCAGAGACTTATTATACTAGCAAGGGAGCCATACAAGTTGGCACAATATTTCAACAAGTGTTATGTGTTGTTACTGTAGATATCATTACACTTTATGGTACTGTATGGGGGAAAATAAAAACCTTTAATTTTAGTGAGTTCTGTACATGCCATTTCTCTTGTCAGTAATATCTTTTGCCATAAAATCTCTATTACTCTTTCGTATATGCATTCTGTTTACCCGTCACTGCACACAGGCCAACATCACCCACCAGCAAAAAATGCAAATACCTGTCAAATAACCAAAGAAAAACAAACATAATTGGTTAATCATTATTCCCTTACCTGCAGAGTGATGTCCGCACCAATCCCTCTAACGCGAGCAAACACCCTGTTAACATTGCCGTCAACAACACCAACACCACAGCCCAGAGCAATGGACGCTATAGCACTCCCTGAGTAGCGACCAATACCCGGCAGGTGCTGAATGAGTGAGTCGCGATCATCTGGAAACTCACCATCCAGTTCCTTCACTACCTGAGAGTTAAGAAGATTACATAGTACGGTAAATTACAACACTGACAGATAAGTTCATATATCTGCTTAATATGTGTGTGTGTGTGTGTATGTATTTGTACTTTTAAAGGAGTCATACAACAATACTGATACCAATCTCCATATTCATTCCTACAAAATGTATGCAATAGCCCTGTTGCCTCTCCTCCTGAACCACAAACCCTGACATTCAGACTCGTGAAACTGAAAGCATTTATGGATAGACTGGAGCATCAGTATCTTCTAATTCAGGTTCATGAGTCTCCTTCTCCTTGTTTGTGGAGCAGAAGAGGCAACAGGGTTTTGGAATGTGGGATGACTAGACTGTATAAGACTGTGTGAACCAGTACTGCACATAACATTTTTTTCAAACATTCAAGCCTTTTCCTTCTATAACACAAGGTGACTGGGAGCATGAATGAATGTACTGTACACACACACACACACACAACACATGCATACAGACACACACAACACACAGGCTCTCCCTTCACTTGCTGTCATTCAATAATTCTTACAGCTGTATGAAATATAAATCTTATCAATATACTGCTCACCAACCTTGACTGCACCCTCGTGAAGTCTTCGAGCTCGGGAATAATACCCCAAACCGGCCCAGACCTGATTGACCTCCTCAAGGGTAGCTCTGGCCAGATCTTCCACCGTTGGCCATTTTGCCATCCATTTCACGAAATAGCTGACCACTGTACTAACTTGAGTCTGTTGCAGCATGATCTCAGACACCCAAACTACAATGCAAGTGTTCACATAAATTTTACAGACATAAAATAACACACCAAGTAATGTTAATCACGGTGAAACCTCTATTTAATGAACTATATGGTGAAGAAAGCTCATTATATCGAGAGTTCGTCAGATGTGAAACCTCTATTTAACGGACTATATGGTGAAGAAAGTCCATTACTGTATATCGGAGGTCCGTTAGATGTGACACCTCCATCTAACGCACTATATGGAGGGAAAAGTTTGTTGTATGGAGGTTTCACTGTACAGTATAAGAGAATTTTGACGAGTAAATAAACAAGGTGGATCGACTATACTGTACCTGCATAAGCCCTCTTACTGCGGTCAGGTTCGGTGGCAGCGATGGTACGCCATGGTAACACACGATGGTTGGCATCGTACCACGTTAGAAGTTTCTGTCGTACTGTCACAACCTCATCCTCAGTAAACTGGTGTAAGCTTCCTATTACTGCTGCTGAAGCTTTTTTGACGTTTTTAACCATAACTGAAATGAATAATAATAATAATAATAATAATAATAATAATAATAATAATAATAATAACAATAATAATAACAAAATAAGGTAAAGGTGTAGATAATGGCTACCACCAGAAGGAATTGTCCGAATTGGTTGAAAATTTGTCTACACACTAATATCATGATATTAAACACAAATGGAAACGACAATGCATAGAACCTGACCTAACATACCCATAGGTTCGGTATGTTAGGTCAGGTTCTATTAGGATCTATGCATTATTGTGTTAATTTATGTGTTAAACGACTTACCTAAATATTGAGGTTGATTATACATCAGCAACGGCGAGGAGGAATTTGTGGGAAGCGTTCACCATCATTTAGGAAAGGTCTCTCGAAGAGGGATTCAGCGAGGTTAACAACAAAAATGACGTTAGAAGAATTGTGAAGCGGGATAGTGAATAAAAAATAAAAAAATACTTAAAAATCATAATAGAAAGTTGTCGTTTCTTTTAATATACTTAAAATCGCCAAAACAATAAATCCAGCAAAAAATAGAGAAAATCAACAAACAACTTCTGGTGGTAGCCGTTATCTACACCTTACCTAAAATAATAATAATACAGGTAAATAGGTTAGTTAGGTTAGGGAGTTAATTACGATGATTTTGTATTACTCAAGGTATGATAAATAAGGCATAACCCACTCATACTAATCTACTTTACCTTAATATATTGTTAAATCATCATAATATTATTGGTTCATGTATAGATGTGGAAGATAAGTTAAAAAAAATTAAGTTTGAAGGGAAATTCATTACGAAAATAAGATGAAATATTCTCCCTCGTATTAAACTTATCATACATTGAGTCTCGCCGCCTCAATATAACCCATAATGGTATATAAGAGTTAAAATTATCTACTTTACCTGTATATTAAGTCAAATACAACTGTTAGCTGGTGGTTGTGGAGATAATGGTGTTAATATAAAGAACAACAGGTCGTCCTTGCCGCCACGACTGTCACTTAAGGATAACAGGCTAAAACATAATTATTTTTATATATCATGTATTTCCTAGTTACCAAGAAATTTATAAGGAATAAAAAAAAATAGTGTGATTTTATTAAGTATATATTGGATATGAACAACATAAATAGTCCGAGTTTAGTTATAATTATTTATCTTTCAAGCCAGTTTCTCATATCACCAAATGATTACCTGCCTTAATTACCTCATTTGCTTAATGTTCTCTCGAAAACAAGCTTATTACGTCACCTCCATAACAAGCTTAATATCCCCTCCAAGGAACAATTAATGTTCCCTCTACAACAAGCTTAATGTCCTCTCCAGAAGAAGCATAATGTTCACCTTCCAGAACAAACTTAATGTCTCCTTCAAATCAAGCTGAATGTCTCCTTCAAAAGCTTAATGTCTTCTTCATAACAAACTTAATGCCTCCTTCAAATCAAACTTAATGTCTCCTTCAAAACAAGCTGAATGTCTCCTTCAAAAGCTTAATGTCTTCTTCATAACAAACTTAATGCCTCCTTCAAATCAAACTTAATGACTTCTTCAAATCAAGTTTAATGTCTCCTTGAAAATAAGCTTAATGTCTACTTAAAAACAAGCTTAATGTCTCCTTCAAAACAAGCTTAATGTCTCCTTCAAAACCAACTTGATGTATCCATCAAAATAAGCTTAAATTCTCCTTCAAAACAAGCTTAATGTCTCCTTCAAAACAAGCTTAATGTCTACTTCAATATAAGCTTAATGTCTCCTTCAAAACAAGCTTAATGTCTCCTTCAAATCACACTTAATGTCTCCTTCAAAACACGCTTAATGTCTCCTTCAAAACAAGCTCAGTGTCTCCTTCAAAACAAGCTGAATGTCTCCTTCAAAAGCTTAATGTCTTCTTCATAACAAACTTAATGCCTCCTTCAAATCAAACTTAATGACTTCTTCAAATCAAGTTTAATGTCTCCTTCAAAACAAGCTTAATGTCTCCTTCAAATCACACTTAATGTCTCCTTCAAAACACGCTTAATGTCTCCTTCAAAACAAGCTCAATGTCTCCTTCAAAACAAGCTCAATGTCTCCCCTAAAATAAGTTTAGTCCTTCACAAAACAAAAATTTATATCCCCTCCAGAACAAGTTTATTGCCCCCTCCAGAAAAAGCTTAATACCCTCTTCAAAACATAGAACCTCCTCCAATTTCAAAGGTTATCAACATTAAAAATAGTATACTGTATTTGAATATCCTTTATTTCATCATTTACTAAAACAAAGTATGAAATGTTGGTGTTAAAGTTTATCCATTATAACCAACTCTGGTGTTGGTATTGTTCATAAACTAAGGAGTTATCAAAAAGATGTGAGTATCCCTCGTTTCTCTGTGCTGAATAAAATTGTCTTGTTTTAGCTTGATAAAATACTAAAAGTGGCATTCCATAGTGAACAGATTAAACTCATTTCCAATTCTTCGTTTCACACAAAATATAACTTTAATCAATTAACTCTAAGATCTACAAGTTTGTTACATGTAACGATCCAATGTCTCATTCTGCGGGTTCTTGGCTCGGTACTGATGAAGTTTATTTTGTTTTAGTGAAGCTGGCATAAATTTTTTGAAGGGGCCAGTCTGAAACACCTTGATGAGGGCGTCGACCACCAAGTCCAAGTCACCGGTAGAGTAGGTCTCGGTGTACACAGAGTACAGCACACAGGGCCGACTCCCCACCACACACTCTGTCAGAACTGCAATGAGAAATATAAATAAAATAATGTTGGTGGCCCCTTAATATTGTTGAATCAATTTTGTCAAAAAAATATTATGCTGCATTTGTTTGCTGTTATTTTCATAAACCTCACTCAATTTTATTAGGCTGAAATTGTCTTATAATTCATCATAATTCCGTACCTTATTATTATTATTAATAATAATAATAATAAAAATAACTAACAAAATCTAATAAAATATAATAATAATAATAATAATAATAATAATAATAATAATAATAATAATAACAATAATAATAAAAAAAAATATCAATACCGGCAGTAAGAAATGATGTACTATATGCTTGTTGTGTTGTTAAAGTAAGCGAAACAATTGAGACCCTGCAATTGTGTGTAAATGAGGCATAAAGTCAGATCAGCAATTTAGGACTTGGTCACAAATTTTGTGATGCCATATGGCAGCAGGGTCTACCATTAGACAACGCATTATGCTTCCAATATCTTCCCAGGCGGTAGTACCTCCCTGTTTGATAGCTGTAATCTATTAAAACAGTTAAAAAAAATTACAGTAGAGGAAAAATTCATTGATAGACACCTGAGCAATGTGGGTGTAGCCTGAAGGTAAAGCAAGTATTTCTGACATATTAATACCAAAGTAAAACATTCTCAATATGTACTGCAACGCATTGTAGGACTAACCAGCAGCCGGTACAGAATCAATAGTGGCAGGCTGAGGAAGACGTGGATACACTGGTGAGTCAGAGAAGGCCGGGGAGTGTAAGGAGTGGACAACACAGTTATCCTCCCCCTGAGGTTCATAACTGCCTTTAAGAGCACCGTAGTGATGAGACGACAATACCATCACCATACACGATGATTTCAATAAACCTAGTAACTGAAAGATTGAATTTAATAAGTTATGAAATATATTAAGATACATCTGCATTTTTACAGTAATATTAACATTTAATTTAGACATCATTTTTGTACTTTAGTTTAAGTCAGCCAATTAGATGCATCCTTGTATATATAGTTCTGAGGGATACTAAATGTAAAAACCTTAGAGTATAGACTTGGCCTATCCAATAACAATTCAAGTTCTCCAGGCCTGCCATGAACACTTTCTGAACCCAATCATGGCTCTTGGCCCAAATACAAAACTTTCTTCGTATGTGATATATCTGAATGGATAAAATCATTTTCAAATTCTCCATCCTGTTTTCACAACTAAAATTATAAAAGGAAGAGGACGTTTATTTCTGCCTGAATACATCATGCATACAGAGGTTTGGGAAAATTTGACACTTTACTCAATGAAAATGCATGACAAGATGACTTACTATGACACTGAGTAACTCTGGAAATGTCTGTGATATCTTTCTTCGTTTATTTATCTATTCTTATCTCGATGTCATGAAACAGGAGAACTTAACCACTTAAAAAACTTGTTTGCAAATTGGTTAATTTTGCAGTCATGAGGTTCCCAACCCAATCCCACCCAGAACGTCTACTTTGGGGAAATATAATACTGTACAGTGAAACCTCAAAATAACGGACTACATGGAGATGAAAGTCCGTAATATCGAGGTATTTTCAGACGAGGACCCTCCATGTAAAGGCTTATATGGAGAGATAAACATTATATGGAGGTTCACTGCACACTAATGGCACAACTGTTTTTCCTTGTTTAGTATGATACCATGAACACATAATTCAAAGTTTAATTATTACAATATAACTAAAATTTAATGTCTTTCAAATAGAGGAAATTCCTTACCACTTGAGCAAACTGTGATGCTACGACAGCTTTTACATCTTTGCTGACACAACAAACTAGAAGTGACTGTGGCGACATAAAGAGTTGTGATGGTGTTGGGTGGCGAGGATGGAAGTCGCCAGTGTCTTCACAATCTGTCTGTCCTTGTACTTCAACGCCAAGTGTACCGACGTTGATGCACTTCTCTGACAAAACAAGTGCCTCACAAAAGTCTGCAGATATGATAAATAAAGTATTGCTGATAAAATACAAAACTGTGATTTAATGGTTATCATGCAGTTTATTATAAAATCCCATCTGTTTTATAACTACACATCAGTCAAACAGTTATTTATGTATCAGTAAGTTTGTACAGTTTCTCAAAAATCTACCTTTACTTGGGGGTCGATAAATTTCAGAATGAATACTGCAACTCTTATCGTCTGTTGCAGTCATATTTTGTCAACACAATTTTGTAAAGATAGTCTTTTAAGTGGCTGTACATGCAACACCAAGTTCACATGGTAGATTTGAGTTATAACAAGGTAGAAAATCCATTACAAAACAAATAAGTAACTACACTATACGTATATATGTCAGAATTATAAGCACATCAACTAAACCTGTTCTGTATTGTGATTAACCTGTTGCCAGTTTTCCGTGTGAAATAATGACAGCTTTGACGTTTGGTATTTTCTCCAAACCTTCTTTATTTAACTCCTCCTTCACCTTATACCTGCAAATAAATAAAACTATAAACATTGCAATAATAAAAAAACATACGAGACATGTATAATTAATTTAACTCTACCGATGTCGCGAAAAGTATCGCGATGTATGTACAAATGACTGAAAATAACTCTCTATACTAAGTGATAAATATTAAGTAGTTTATACTTTTATAAGCTTAGTATAAAACTGGCGGTAATTGGACATTTATATCTTCTAAACTACACTTTGCATGAAATCCAAATTTAATGACAAACTATGTGATTAAATAATAAGTTTACTGAATAAACACAATTATAACTTATAGTTTAGATGATAAATAAAAATTAAACATGTGAGTTTCCCACGATTTAACGCGTGGAGGGAGACGCCTGCAAGACTAACACAAACCAGCAACACACTAGATGTTACGGCATCTTCTAACAACTAATCAATACAACAATTCAGTATTTGATAGTGTAGCCGTGGTATTTTATTAGCTGCTAAGGAGTAGGGGCTCGTATTTTTACTATTACATATTACCACAGGATCACTTTTCCAAATTCCCAGACAACCATTATTTAACTTACCTAATTTCTAATCCACCATCAATAATTTGGGATACAATACATAACAGGTAAATATAGACCTTATAAATCAACCTTTGAGAGTAGTAATTATCATAAACAATTAATAGCAAATAACTTACGAGACCACTACATTATCGTCATCCTCCTCGTCCTCGTCGTAGGCTCTGGATGACACTTCTCTCACTTCACCAAAAAACGTGGCCATTATCTTCACCTACAGTTCCTATATTATCCTTCAGTAGGGCTATATATCACCTGTGTTGTGTGAGCGAGGAGTAATAGGGTCACTCAGCCCAACCTGAAGCCTTACTGGTCTACTTGTTTCAGTGACTTGTTTATTTATGTTGTATAATTTACCAAAACATCCGATAATTTTCCGCTTTTTTCTGGCATGAAATTTTTTATTCCATGTGCATTAACCCAGAAGTATTTGTAATGCATTAATGTCTTTTCATTTAAATTTGGAAAATATATTTTAACTTTCCGTTTTTTATCCCTTCTTTGTATTGTCTCTATGGTTATGTATGACAACAGATTTAATATATGACCTGAAGATTAACCCCTAAGGTTATTTCACTTGTTAATTAAACAAATTAACACTGAAACCTCTATTTAACGGACTATATGGATAAAAAACTCCATTATATCGAGGAACTACTAGTATGAAACCTCCATTTAACTACCTGTATATGGAGATGAAAGTCCATTATATCGTGGATTCCTTTGATGTGAAAACCCCACCTAGCAGATAATATATAGATATAAGTCTAACCCTCTATATAACGTATTACATGGAGAACAAAGTCCGTTATATGAAGTTTCTTACAACTAAACGAAAGGCGGGAGATGACCGGCACCTGGACCACTAGTGTAAACCATGGTGGCTCCCTGCTAGTGGACGGTGGAGTGTTGGTCAGGTTTTAACACTTCTCTCGCCTTTGTGACACATTGTACATCATATATTTCAGAAAAAATCTGTTTGATGCGTGAGGGGGTGGAGATAAGACTGTGATGTGAGTTGAACTTGAGATAAGGGTGTGTGGGGGGTTATCGTCTTTAAACCACTGTCATGAAAGGGGTTAAACCATCGTACTCAAAGGGGTTAAACCATCGTACTCAAAGGGGTTAAACCTAAGATAAGTTTGTGTGATATTTAAACCATCGTCATTAAGGGGGTTTAACCATCGTCCTCAAAATGCTAAGTCATAGATCCAAACCTTTTTATGAAGTGTATTCGTTGATGGTAATTAATTATTAATACCAGTATCGTGGTGGTGACTTAACTCATTTGATGGTGATTTATATTCACAAATACGATGGACGGTTTGGTTATTAAATTTTGTTTTATAGTAAGTGTATGGTACTTCAGCTATCATAAGGAGAATTACCATGGTACTGACCATTTTAATTGTATAAAAGAATACTGAATGGGAATCTCATGATAATATTGTACTTAATATTGCATACATATATTATGACAAAGATACAGATTATTCATATGCAGTCTGGGATCCATGCTAAAACAAATTTGATGTTACCTACAATCTTGTATTACCTTTCTGTATGAGGAGCAACAGTGACTGTGAGTTATGGCAGGAACAGTGGCATTAAAATACATATTAAAAATAAAACTTTCACAGCCAACCAAGTGTAAATTAGTCGCAGTTATAACTAGAGACAGATGAGGGCTAGGTTAGGTCTGGTCATTAAAAACCTAACCTAATCTAATCTAATCCTCCCCAACTTGACCTAATCTTTTACAGAAGAACAAGTGCTGGTGGACTACAGAAATACCGTATCGAAGGAAGAGGCCCACGAATTAAAGCCAGCTCAGTGTTGTATATACCCTGTACTCGTATTTCTCAAAGACTTGTGGAGGCCAAAGGTGATCTCTAGTACCATATAACACACATTGTCGTCAGCACTGGTTGGGTTAAAACAACACTTAAAGTTAAAGAAAATTTGTTAATCCTATTTTTGCTCTGAGGACAAAGATGCTATATGTGGTGGCACTGATTAATGTCGCTGATTATTGCTATAATTCTTTCAGGCAAACTTAAACATCAAAACATGTCGAAGAAGATAGAGGATAGTGAGCTTCAAACGCTCACCCTCTCTCCGACCAACACAAACGATGATGAGTCGTCGCCCTTTGTCAACCCGGCAAGTGATGAGACGTCATTTCCCATCAGTCCGCCTCCCTCATTCTCTACCGTGGTAATGGTTGTGATCTTAGTTTATTGTGCATGACGTCTTAGGAAGGTGTGAGTGTTTGTGTCCAAGCAAATGTGAATGTTGTAAAGGCAGATGGTGCGTGTGTTTAATGCATAGGTGTTTTTTTTTTTTTTTTGGGTGGAAATGATACTTGAGGGTATAAGTAAGATGAATGTGAAGAATGTGGTTATATGAGACTTGTATGTAATTTTCGATGCCATTGTTAGTATGTTAGTATCTTATTGTTAAGTGTGTATACAGTACTGTATCTGCATTGTTGTACATATGGGTTGATACATCTGATAAAAATTTTGGTTTGTGAAAGTATCCACTCAGGTTGTTGTGACTTTTAAACATGTACAATAAAGACTTCTAGGATTATCTTAACATGAAAATGGTATATTTTTCTTCACATAAAAACGGTATGTTTTACTTGTCATATTGAATATGTGGATTTATTCAGTGATTAGGTTCTTCAAAATATTGCTGGGCAGTTATTCAGTGAACTACAAGTATCCTAACTAACCAAAACTTGGTGTTGAAGGAACATCACAGCAGTGACTCACTAAGAGTATATTACATGAGTCATGCTCACCTTCATCTCCCTCCTCCTCATCCCTCTAGAGCTACCTCCTCACCCCTCCCTTAACTCTCACACATCTCCTCTCATTAGCAAACCAGGATTAGATTTCCCAGTTCACCTGAAGAGTAGCTCTTCCGGCTTATTTCACCTAAAAATTAACCATCCTAGCACTAACCAAACTTAATATAGTTTAGCTTAACCAAACCTAACCTAACCTAAGTAAGTTTTGAAATACTGTATACAGTTAATTTATATGAACAAGGTAGATACACGCAAGTCTCCACCAACATTTATTTTAGTCCGAGAAAAAGTTTTACCCCAGCAGTAAATGTGGGTAATCCTTGACTACACCTTCCCTTAACGACAAAGCTTCTCAGAAGAGACTCAAAAGAATCCTCTATACAGTGCACTAAAATCCTTTGTTATTATTGCTTTAGTTAGCTATAAGATACTGTATATATACCTGTACAGTACTGTACAAGCCTGAGAGTTTAGGAATGGTGAGAGTTGTATAAAATCATCACAGTTTATTCACTATAGCTGCCTGTACAGTCACCCTCAAAGTGTTGTCGCCTCTCCTCCTGAACTGCAAACCCCAAGATTCAGACTTGTGAATCCGAAGCAATTATGGACAGAATGATGTGTCGGTGTCTACTACTTCGGGTTTAAGAGTCTTAATCTCGGAGTTCGTGGTTCAGGAGGAGAGGCGACAGGAATTTTGTGAGTGACTATACAGTGTTGTGTTGTGGATGTAGTCCATGTTTCTTATCCTCATATTTTCCTTAAAGACAACATCAAGTACTGAACCACCTGGAGAGAAGAGGAAACTGGAGAGGATGGTCAGTGTTCCGGGGACAGGAGCCAACACTAATAAACCTCTGCCAACACTGAGGGTAAGTTAATGTAGCATCACTCAAAAAACTCTCTTTACTTGAGGGGGGGGGGGGGTTGATGAATTTCAGAATGAACACTGTTACTCCTGTTGCCTCAGTAGGGTTGTGAAAATCCTTCAACACAATTTTGTGAATATACTTTTTTGAGGGACTGTACATGATAAACTATTAGCCAGCTTATTGTATTAAAAATTGTAATGTGATGCATCTATCAGTTCATCTGTATTTGAGTTATATTGCAAAAACTTGGCAGGATTATTCCCAAAAACTTATCCAACATTGAGTAATTAAATACTTTTGGCTTCTTTTTATGTATCCTTAAGGCAGCGTTGGGCAGAAATGTTGTACATTACTGCACTGCACATACACGCACATCAATTTATTTACTAATTCTCGCCAAATTACTGTACTGTACAGGTGTCCACCCCGCCCAGTACAACTCAAATTACCTACACCAACGAGGAGTCAAACGAGAGAAAAATCGACCTGAGCAAGATCTGTCGTGAACGTCCCACTCCCGGGAATTCCATAGGACAAAAGAAAGGTGTGTTGTTAAGTATTACCCAAATGTTTTTATCTGTGAAGCTTGTACAGTACAATGCTGATAGAATAATGTTACATCAAGATCAATTAATACTAATAAGCTTATGGTGAATATTGCTGTTGCTTCACATCCAATCATTGTAAAACATTTTGGTCTCCAATTGAGCTAAACACTTTTTACATTATCAGTAAAAAATAATTTTTTTACTCTTCATCAAGTTTAGTTTGCTCAAAAACTTGTTCATATATTGCATAATAATATTTTTTGAAAATCTATTGAGAACTTTAAAAGCAATGAACATTGGAGGAAATGATTAAGGTAAGCATCATGATGGCACAACTGCCTCTGTCGTCCATTTAGTGTACCGGAGTAGATTTCCTCTTGATAAACACTTTATGAGGAGCCTGACGGTCATGTGCATTCCAATAAAAGTATAAATCATACAGTGAAACCTCTATTTAATGGACTATATGGAAATGAGTCCATTATATCAAGAGTCTGTTAGAAGTGAAACCCCCATCTAACGAACCATATAGAGACGAAAGTCCGTTATATCGAGTGTCTGTTACATGTGAAATCTCCATCTAATGGATTATTTGGAGGTAGAAGTCCATTATATGGAAGCTTCACTATATATACTGTATATGCCTCCCTTTAAAGTTCAGTAAATTTATGTTCCTGAAGCATGTGTTGTAATGCATGTGTATGAGGGTTGTGTTGGATGTATAGTACAGTATACATGTAAGTCACTGTCCAGGGTTAATTGCAGTCAACTACTAAGTCTATTCACCTCTCCCTCTGAACCACGAACCCCTAGATTCAGCCTCATGTAACCAAAGCATTTATGGACAGAATAGTGTATCAGTCTACTGCTACGGGTTCACAAATCTGAATCTCGGGGTTCGTAGTTCAGGAGGAGGAAGGGGCAAACAAACTTCAGTAGTTGACTGTAGAGTATGTTGGTAAACTCAGCTTGTTGTCTTCCCCAGTATCTGCACACACACATTCATTGTTTTAAAAAATAATGTTTACCACACAGTTTTATTAAGTTCATTTTATCAATGCCTTAAAGTCTTGTCAAATTATTATGATTATTTTAATTTGTGTATTTGTTATACGAAATGAATAACATAACATGTATATAGATGGTGAGTGTTTATGTAACCTGTCTGCTGCCACAGTCATAGTACCAGTTGAACATCATGGAAGACTTTTAATAATAATAATCATTTTAACCACTGAAGTCCAGCCTCTACCCCCACTGCACCTTGTTATTGTTGTTACTGTTTGAGTAAGTTTCAGGGTACAGTAATATTATGGAAATGTCATACATAATCCCACTTACTCCATACATGTGCAGTAATAGATTTACAATGGACGGGATCTGTAGGACAATACCATCACAGGTTGGGTGAAAACTGCTGTGCTGTGTATGTTAAGCACACGTACTGTATTTATAAATTAATTTTTTTCACCTTATATTTTTTAAATGCATGAGATCATTAAATTCTTGAATACTTATCACAATAAGAAAGTCCAGTTTATCTAGATTTATGTTAAAGTAACTGGAAAGAATAGGTTTTACTGTAGTACAGTATCAATAGATGTACTGCACTGCACACTACAGGTACAAATATTTTTTATACAGGCCAATTTGGTTAAATTTTATTTGAATGTTACAAATTCAGTTCATTTTGTTATGTTAAACATCAAATACCAGTCATATTTTAAGGTAATTTTCAGACATTTTTTGCAATCAGTGGTTGTTCACCTCAGCATCACCTACATCATTTTGTTTACTCCCTTTTTGTGTTCAATATAATAAACCAGCAATTACTGACAACACCTTAAGTCACTTCTCTCATAACCTTTTTATGTCTTATACAGTAAAGTGGTGGTGTAATTTTTTTAGATATGCTTATTTAAAAAAAAATATATAATATATATATATATATATATATATATATATATATATATATATATATATATATATATATATATATATATATATATATATATATATATATATATATATATATATATATATATATAGATCCCACAAAAGCGTGGATAAGATAAATCTTGATAAAATCCGCGGAAAGAAACAACTGAGCACCTTAGCTTTTCGTCTTTATTCAAGACATCTTCAGTTGCCTCTGAAGATGTTTGATAAACAGCTAAGGTACTCTTTTCCCGTATATTTATATATAATAAAAAAAAAAAAAAAAAAAATATATATATATATATATATATATATATATATATATATATATACACACACAGTTGAGTCTGGATTTACGGTTTTGGTTTCTGGCGTTTGTAATTTCTGGCTGTGCCTTGCCAGAATTGAAATGCTTGATTTACGCAGCAATTTGGTTATTTCAGCGGGAAGCGGCGCGGGCAAGGTGTGCACAAGGTCACCCAGTCATCAAAACATTACCGAGTTCTTCACCTGCCACCCACCACAGCTGGCCCAAGTCAGTGATAGTGAGGATATGGACTTATATGGACTTTGAGGGGTTTGACAAAGAGCCCCTGCAAGCCTCTGTGGTGAATAGTGATACAATTGATACAAGTGCTACAGTACAGGTGAGGGCCAGTAATCTGCCCTCTGCCTCGGAACCAACCCCCATCCCGTGTGCCCAGCTATCTTTTCTACTAATGTAAGTGTTAAAAAACCTAATATTATTGATATTTCTCTTAATTATTAATTGTGTGTGCATTCCATCACAAAATTAAGATGTTATTTTGACTACAAGGTAAGTATTAATGTCGGAAAAAGTGGAGTTTGAAGTCGACCCAGTCTCTATTTCAATTAATCCCATATGTTCTGTTATTTCATTTACGCGTTTCTCATTTTACGCGGTACTCATGAGTTCAATTGACTGCATAAATGAAGACCCAACTGTGTGTATATATATATATATATATATATATATATATATATATATATATATATATATATATATATATATATATATATATATATATATATATATATATATATATATATATATATATATATATATATATATATATATATATATATATATATATATATATATATATATATATATATATATATATATATATATATATATATATATATATATATAGTGGAGTCTGCATTTACGCGGCTTTTGTTTACGCGTTTGGTCATTTACGCGGTGCCTTGCCAGAATGAAATGCTTTAATTACGAAGTAATTTTGGTCATTTACGTGGGTGAAGTATAATTTGATTACTGTATTTACTGAAGATATTTGTTTTAGCTCATAAAATTCATACAAATTACCTGGCCAGAATATAATTTACATGGCTTGAATTCTTATAAGATTGTGATTATTTTAAATATAAACACCATGGAATTTGCATTAGACATACAAATTTTAGATCTAATGTAAGAATTTTGATTAGAAAGAGCAAAAATTTTATCTTTTGTGCAAAATATATGACATTTATATTCAAAATATTCCTGGTCTTGCAAGGAATCCAGCAATGTCAATTATATTATCCTAACTTTAGTCTGAGGTATTATTTATTACTAAAAATGTAAGCCTACTGTTTTCACCCAAACATTTCTCAGAGAGGGAGGAGCCAACGAGCGTGGGAAGAGGGGGAGGGGGGTGGGGAGTTGAGTCCATTATTTGAATGGACATTAACCGGGCGACTGTATTTCTTTTAAATATTAATTGTGTGTGCATACCATCAGAAAAAATTAAGATGTTATTTTTACTACAACGTACGTATTGTGTCAGAAAAAGTGGAGTTTGGGGGTCGGCCCAGTCTCTATTTCAATTAATCCCATATGTTCTGTAATTTCATTTACGCGTTTCTTGTTTTACGTGGGCCTCCACTGGTTCAATTGACCGCGTAAATGCAGACTCCACTGTATATATATACACTGGTATGTAAATACTGTACACAATCTGATAAATAATTTTTAATGCTTACCTATATATATAAATATTTGATTTAGGCTTCAATGTTTTTGCTTTCTCATTGTCACTGCTTATTTTATTGTTTAGTTTGCTTACTGACAATTTGTTTCCCCGCACTGGTCTGCATGGCTTGTCCTGTGCCCGCCCTTTCACCGTTGCCCACTCCTCACAAATCGTAGACCTCCCACGCCAAACGGACTACTCTCTGCCTTTTCCTAGCCATGTTGTGTCAGGTAACAAGGGATTCCAAATATCTAAGTCAGATTCTAAGACTAGAGTCTTAGAGAAAGGTCTGACGACATCCTCCCATAGATCACAACTGGCCAGAGGAGACTTTAAAAGACCCGGAACCCACTGCGGGCAGGTGAGCGGTATTAACCCTACTGCAAGTTATACCCAAGCTGCTTCAGGGAGTGCACCTTCCACCCCACATAGCTTTGGGATCACAATTTCTGCACCACCGAGCAGAGTTGGAACAAACAACAAAGGGAATTCAGGCAGCAAAGCATGGCTAGGCAGGCCAGTAGTGCGATCAGGGCTAAGAATGAGGGGAGGTTTAGACTCCCGTCAAATGGACCGGCCAATCCAGCATCACACCTTCCTGGCAGATGTGGCTGATGTGAGGCAGATTGAACAAGGACTCCTGCAGCTGATGGAGGACTTCCAGGCGGGAAATTTACGAGCATTTGGTAAGTAAATTGGCAAAGAAAGTGCATTAAATGGTACAGTATATTTATACTAGTGATATATGATGGATGGTATGCTGATGAAGTTTTATAATACTAAATACAAAGTAGAAGAGGGACTGATAGAATGAATTGGGAATGAGTTTGACAAATGGAGAGATGAAATGAGTTTGATAGCTGGAGAGATGGGTAACTTGTGCTAATGTGATGAATTTAGAGAGTGACTTAGACAGTTTTGAACATGATGCTAGATATTACAATCCTGAAGCATTAAAGAACTTTTTGTCTGAATAAAAATAATTAATCAGAACAAAGTTAATACAGGTTCCACCAGCATCATTGTTCTCTGTGTAAATTTATCTCTTATGTGTAGGAGAAGAAATAGCTTCCAGTACTGTACATGTAGAATCTGTGTTTGTTGTGGGTGTAAAGGTGTGTTGTGATCAGTAGTTGTGTTATCTCTGTTGGTATGTTATTCACTGAGGTTACCAGCCATTGTCTTGTTTACTGTACTTGTGAATATCAAGAGGAACATTAGGGCTATGAGAAGATAAGATAAAGAAATAAAGTACTATTTGGTTGAGAGGTTTCACCATAACTAACTAAATAACTCACGGCACCACAGGGAAAGATTCTCGGCTACGACAGATGGAAGCAATAAGGGAACAGCAGGAGAGACTGGCACGACTTCACTTTGATGTGGGAGCTGAACAGGTACAGTATATTGCTTATGGTTACATTATGTGTTGTATCTTAAGTGTTGAGATACCATGTAAAATTTGGAGTAAATGTTATTATAAACTCTTTGTGATAAGAATGGTGATGCCCTTATTGTACAACTGGATTTGTTAACAGTAAGAAGCTGTATAATGTAGTTGTTAGTCGTCAATATTTAAATTCTTGATCAAGTGAAAATTTGCAGGACTTATTTCCTCCGTTGTCTGAAGAAGGGTTAAGGACGTCCCACGACAACATGAGAACACTTATGGAAAAACTGGCTCAGCTCTCAGAGTCTATTGAACGGCTACACACCAATACAAGCAGCGAACGCAAGACTAGCAGCAATGAGCGCAAATGTTCGTCCAACCAGCGAGCCACTGAAAATGTGGGTCATTCAAAGTTTCACTCAGGAGCTTGGAATCAACAGATGCCCGACGGCCACCATAGCAGTGACCAGCACGGTAACTATGGCCACATGAACAACAACGCACAACACACCAGCCCGGCAAACTCCCGCCTCGGCCATGGACAACACTCCACAAACCGACTCAGAAACTCGGCCGGAAACCCAATGTCAGGTATAATGAAGAGTGGAAAGTTAGCGGACTCCTGATGACTGTTGCTCTACAGTCATTTAGCACCAGTTTAAACATTGTTGATATAATAACCTTACATAATATATATATATATATATATATATATATATATATATATATATATATATATATATATATATATATATATATATATATATATATATATATATATATATATATATATATATATATATATATATCCAGTACATGTTGGCTTTGTTTGATATTTATGAGTTATTAGAAGATTTTTATACTACACTTAAAATATATTTCATTAATATATAATACAGTACGTGCCATATTATATATATTTTTAACAAAGATTGATAAGACTATTAGTACAGTACAGTAGTGGTGTATTTTGAGGTAGAAGATACTGAATGAAGGGTTTGGTGAGGTACATAATATAAACACAGCTCTTGTAGTTTCATGCTAATGCCAACAGGAAACAAGACAAAGAAAAGGGAATTTAGTTGAGACAGATGGTTGAGAGAGACTTACGGAATAGAAAGTATATGATGAATTTAGAGAGAGAGGAGGGGGGGGGGAGGGATTAAAAAGAAAGGGTTGTGGGAAGTAATGAATTTATAGGAGATTTGTCTAAGGTTTTTAAATACTGTACAATATCCTGCCATTAGTTTATTTGATGGGAATATTGTACTTATATACGTGAGAAATATTTGTTGATGTGAATGATTCATTGTTCTGACATGCTTGTGGTAAGAGAGTATCAGGGATGAATGGTGTAAAATTATTTGAAAATTTCAAAGTTAATGAATGGTGTACAGTCAATCAAAAAACTATTTTCACAAAATTGTATTTTGAAAATATTGTAGTGTCTTTATAAACACACACTATGGTTTGGTGATGCTCAAGTATGAGGAGATGGGGAAAGATAAACTCTGTCATACAAAAATATAATTCATTCTATAGAATAATCATCAGAGTGCTGGAAGCTTCAGTTAAGTCCGGAATAGCTTGGTGGAGAGCTCCATCTAGTGCTGGGAGAGAGGTGTTGTTGCTTCTGTTGCTGGAGAGGAAGAATGTGAAGTTGAGGGTTGGTTGGTTGCTTTGTTTTGCTAGCTGTCAACATCATAGGTCATTATGGCCATAGTCTTGTTGTTCTTAGATTCTCGTTCTCTCCCTTTTGTTCTTTTTCTTCTTCGGGATGGTCCACATTTGATCTTGTTGCTCAAAAAATTTTTTATCTTGTTCTTTTACTTCATCTTCATGTTTCTTCTATTTCTTTGTCAACTTGTTTCTTCTGTTCTTCTTTCTCTAGTTACTTCTTTTCTTGTTTCTTAACTTTAAGGATAGGCTCCTTCTAGCTCAGTTTTTTCGTGAATCGCAGCTTGGCTATCCTACACTCCTCCCTCCACTTGGGACACTCCCGGTCAGAGGAGTGTGGGCCGCCACAAGCTGTACATTTCTTTGTCTTGCTGGGACATGTGGTGTGCTGGTGCTCGGTGGTTTCGCACTGTGAGCATACCTCCTGAGCCCAGCACTTCTTGGCTGGGTGTTCGTATCGTTGACATTTGTAGCACCTTGTAGGTTTGGCAACATATGGTTTAACTGGGATGGTTTCCCATCCCAGTCATACTTCTTTGGGTAAGCTTATTGATAACACTTAGCTGGTTACCAAGTAGTTCGGCCAGCTCGTCTTGTTCTAGATGTACAATTTCGGCATGGGAGATTACTCCAAATCACCAGATTGTCCTCTTCATGAACTTCGATTATAATTCGGACGTCGTTGGTGAAGTCAATGTCCACCACTTGCACGGCCTGTCCCCATTCGGTGAACGTTACCATGAGGCCACTGCTCACCAGTCTGCAGACGACCTTCGTTACCCCCTTTATCCCCGAAGAGTCAAAAAACTTCCTCAAGATAAGGAGGTTTAGATTCTTGGGGCTTGGATGGGTACAACCGTACCACCTTGGTTTGTTCCCTCGTCAGTCATGGCCATGTGGTATCTCGGGGGCAGAGGTGCAGGTCTTGGCGTGGTTCCAGTTGTTTCTCAAGTGTGTAAAGTTGACTGCTGGCACACAACTTTTATACCTGATTGGTGCGGTGAAGGAAACCAGTGGTGGTCTGTGATTGGTCCAGCAATATTCTGTGCTCGGCTGGTCCGATAGCCAATCACATGCTGGGACCGAGAACAGCAGCCCTTGGTTGGCTGATACCCAACCGGTGCACGGATCAGGAGAAAGTGCATGCTCTTGAGTTTTTGTTGGGTGTTCCCTAAAATATGACACACCAGATGAAGGATTTTGACAACCATACTAAGACGAAACAACAGGAGCCCAGGTGTTCATCCTGGAATTCCCACCCCAAGTAGAGTTTTTTGATCGACTGTACGGTAATATGAAAATGAAAGTGAGAGTGATGACCGTAGGATGCAACAGAGACAAGGTGGTGTTTGAGTGGAAGGTGTAATAGTTGCTGGTATGAGGACGATACTGTGTTGCTGATGAGGGAGTCTGAGAAAAAGTTGAAAAGAATGATAGTACTGTACTGTTATGTATATTTTGAAGATAAATGCTGATAAAATTAAAGTTTGGTATGTTACAGAGAAGATCTGGAAATTGTGAATGAATATAGATTAATAAAAGTTTTGTAAAGATTGAATTGAAAAAGTTATGTTAGGAAATACGGAGTATGATGAGTGAGGTTTAAATTGTGCAGCTTACCGGTAAGTGGGGCAGACTGAGTACAGTACCTGACTCACGGCAGACTGGGTACTGTACCTGATATGAGAAAGTAAGTGGAGGTGAGTGTAGTGCTGGTCACTGTCTGGTCACTGTCTGGTGTGTGTTTGTGCATGTGTGTGCATGCGTGCGTCCTTTCCTTTTGCTCTCACCACTTCTCTTATACTTTTCTCTTGTGCATCACCAACCAGACAAGTTCCTATCCCTGTTAGAGGTGTTTCTGTTTCCTGTCACATATCCTAAACACGTGAGAATGAAGAGATAATATGAACACAACAGAAGGAAGCTTTAAGGACTATATGAGCTGCTTGGCATGAGTGAGATACAACTGGGAAGAAGAGTACAGGTGGGTTATATCAGCTTCTTTAGTAGAGCTTCCTAATTTAGGACCTGAACTTGTAACTCAAGAAAATGTCCTTGGCAGTAGAGTGAAACCTCCCTTTAACGGACTTCTCATTCCATATAATCCGTTGGATGTAGGTTTCATATCTAACGAACCCTCCATATAACGGAATTCCCTCTCTCTATATAGTCTGTTAAATAGGTTTCACTGTATAGTTTGCCAGCATATTTTCCTGATGTATGTAAGTCTCTTATGCTGGGCTTCATAATAACTTGCAACATTCCTCCATCAAGAGGATTCTGTCCTGAGTTGTGGGATACTTATTTTCTGAAGATTGAAGACCCAAATTTATGGTGGTATAGATTCGTGAAGACAAACAGTCATCTGAGAGTAAAAAGCACTCAAGTTTCATGTGAGCTTTAAGAATACAGTAGACCCTTATGGGAAGTTAAAGTAATGGATAGTGGGCAAAACATAAAAGAGTTGAAGATTTATTGAGGAGTATTTGTGTTATTGTGATAAACAGCATAAAAGATAAATAAATACTGTATGCCAAAAAGTAAAAGAAGAACTTGTACAAACAAAACAAAATTTAAAATGTTTTAAAGAAATATCTCCTAATATTTTATAAGTAGAAGTTTAACACTCTGTTACATTTAGACTTACGTTGAAGTACAATTACTACAGAAAACATATTTCAATTATGGCAAACATCTCTGTGCTTGAGTTAGGTTTATATGGTTCAACAAACTAACTGTGAAGTATTGTAGTTACATGTTCTACCACAGTTCCTCTTTTTACTCTTTATTACCTCATCAAAATACCCATAACAAGGTTATGAGAAACTTGAAGAACTTAGTGTAAGTTAATCATAGATGTTCACATGGATGTGTAGGTATAAGAATATTTTATATGTGATATTTGAGCAGTGAACACTTGTTGTGGAGACCTTGGTAACATGGGGGTTTATCATGCCATGTTTACTGTGGCTCGTAGGTGACTATATGTGTCGCCAGCCCTCAGAGGTTATCATATGTGTTGCCAGTCCCTGGAGGTGACCATGTGTTGTCAGTCTTTTGAGGTGACCATATGTGTCGCCAGTCCTCAGAGGTAAGCATATGTCACAAATCTCCGGAGGTGATCAACAAAGATCATTAGTTTGTGTATCATCCTGGCTCTCCTACATGCATGCACACAACACACTGTACCCCAGAGTGATGATGATACTGTGGGGCCTTATTAAGGATTTAGTGTTTGTATGATGTGGTAGGTGGTTTGGCTAAGGCCATGACTATCATTTTTCTTTAAAGGTAAAAAATGCTGTGTTGTGGTTTAACCACATTTCTTTGTTCTTCATAGTTCTATAATACAATACGTGTATATAAATGTACTGTACTGCTCTATGTATCATCCATGTCCCAGGAACAACATACTGAAGTGGAACAAGTCCACCGAGTGTAACAAAAATGTTTTAGTAGATTTACCGTAAATAGAACGAAAAAAAACTACGTCTCTCCTCAGCAAAAGTTGAGTCAGTACTACAATTTACTCATATATACAGTATACTGTATTGTATACAATCTGTGTTTGTTTTGATGTGTTATTAAGAAACTGAACCACCTAATGACTATGATAATTAGTTATCATACATTGGTGTGCTTTAGTTCAGTGTTTTGTTTAACTTTTCAGATATTCTATTTGTAATCTGTACACAATTTGTATAAAAGCTACTCAATTTTGAGTTGCAGTCCTGTATTCCTGACCCCCAATCTACTGGACGCTCCCTACCCCCTCATTAAGTGTGCTATATTTGTACTGCCCCCAGTGGGTCATCCGCACTATGGAAGATCTTTCCTGTTGTACTGTAGGATAAAATATATACAGATGGGTAAACTTTACACTAATAACGAGTTGTTTTCATTTGACTATTTATTAATACTGGTATAAAATATTAACACATGCAGATAAAAGAGCTGTATGAAACACACATGAGGTTCATATCTTCAACAGTACATTACACTTACGACTGTACTGTACAATAAATAGTTCAGTGTCACATTTTCATGGGAAGGGCAAACTCAGAGCAGTTAGACAGCAAATCATCGTCAGTATAAAAATATATCTGAATTTTTTTACTGGCCACATTACTGCATCTCATTAACACACACACACAGCAAAGTACAAATGTCTCGCTGTCTTCTTGGCACCAACTACGAGAGTAAAATGTGGTCCAATATTTCTCAAGACAGATTATTCTTTAGCATGTTTAGTTTTTTTTTTCATGGTGTTATGACAGTTGTTATCATGAAAGACTCAGCACTGGTGTATGACTTTAATGAGGGGGAAAGGGGAGACCAGACCTTATCTATGGTAGATTTTGCAGATTTGTTCTATAGGTACATAGTTGTAAATCTAGAAGATCAATTTGTTAAAAAAATCTTATTGTATTTAACCCTAGAAATATCACTATCATAATCACATTCACCCACCATTCACACACACACACAGTCACCACTCACACATGGTCACCACTCATACACACAGTCACCACCTATACACACAATACAGTAGAAGAGTAACAATAAAAAATTATTATATGTTTGGCAAAGTGTAAGTGATAATGTGCACTACAGTAATTAAGTAAGAAAATAACTTGATTACATAGAGCCACTGTAGCCATTGAAAAGTATATACTATACAGGCATTAGTCAAGTAGGCTACAGCACTATCTATAAGGTGATTACTGCATGCACCTAGAAGGGTATAGTAATACAGTATGTTAACTTAGACACAAATTCGTGAGGATAATACAGTAGCCTTGGGCAGGCCCGGATTATCCATTAGGCACAGTGCCTAGGGCCTACGAGATATTGGGGGCCTACGAAAAATAAAACAAGAACTTTTCTTCCCCTTTTTCTACAGGTTATTATTAAATTGATACTGAGATACTTTTTTTCCATTTATTTATTACTTAATCCTATTAGTATCTATTAATGTTACTTGATTATCTTATTCTTTCAACATCACATTTTATAATTAGGTACTAGCTTGTGTTATTAGTGAATATGCTGTCAAATGGGGCCCCATATCTTGGAGGTGCCTAAGGCCTACGAAAGTCTTAAACCGGCCCTGGCCTTGGGTTATTTTGCAAGCATCTTGCTAAATAATCCCCAGGCTGGTATACAGTACAGTTAACTGATAAAGTTTGTTCACCTCTCTCCCTGTACCACAAACCCCGAGATTCAGACTCATGAATCCAAAGTATTTGTTGGACAAAATAATGTATCAGTCTACTGCTTCTCTAGGTTCACGATAGAACCTTACTGATCAAACTGACCCTATTCAATAATTAGTATAAACCCTTTTTCTTTTTCATCATTTACAAGAAACTACATTATAAACCTTAAACCTCCTTCAACCATTAGTACAGTACTGTACAGCCTTTACAAACCTCTATAATACACTGTTACAAAATGTGTTACTCATGGTACAGTAATAGTACAGTACAATACAGCCTTCACAAAAATAGTACACTTATGGTTATAGTTTACAGTATCGACAATATACAGTATCACTAAATATATTGCAGATTTATTACAGAGGAAGACTTTCAAATACTGTATCTTGAATTAATTATCTTTTCACCACAAACCTTATATACAGCTCCTCCCCGACTTACCACCCGGACAAATGACCGCATCACTCGTATCAAAATTTTGTCAAATTATGTATTTTCGAGTCCCAACGTCAGTGATTGTGCTTGTAATTCACTTTAAAATGGCTGGTAAGCTTAAAAGTGAGAGTTTTGTGGTGCTGAGAAGAAAAAGAGACACCCATTTTAGATTTTCTATGTATTATTTAAGCATTTTTGCCTCCGGGGGGCTCCACATTGTCTCAATGTTCAGTCCCCAAAACTTTTTCCATCAATAGTTCATTAACGATGTATGTAAGTTCCACCATGTTTTTCACTACAACGGTACAGCAAAGTATATTTTTTTAGTATTAAACCGTTATTATTTTATTGTCTAATCCTCACTACATATAACACCATCCATCATCACTACATATAACACCATCCATCATCACTACATATAACACCACCCATCATCACTACATATAACAACATCCATCATCACTACATATAACATCATCCATCATCACTCACACCATCCATCATCACTACATATAACACCATCCATCATCACTACATATAACACCATCCATCATCACTACATATAACACCACCCATCATCACTACATATAACAACATCCATCATCACTCACACCACCCATTATCACTACATATAACACCATCCATCAACACTACAGATCGGTAAAGTAGTTTCCGAGATTCTAGTGCGGACACACAAACAAATAAACAAACAGACAGACAGACTTCTTTGTTTTATATATACAACTATAGATTAAACTTAATGGTCATTATAAAATTTAGCCATCCAAGCTCTGTCTACATAAAGTTTTTCAACTATTATTTTTGGCTTGTTATATGTAACTTTATTCATTTATTGAAAGTCATTTACATGCACACACTGTCCTGAAGGCAAAGCTGTACTGTACATGTACACAAAATAATGTACAAAATGATTACTAAGATTTTTGTCTAGTGCAAACTATAGCATGATTATATTCAAATTAATCACTACCGCATAAGAATTCTAGCAATTCAAGTTATATTCCACCCGGTCACTTCTGTGACATCTTATAAGCAAAAAACAAAAACTCAATCTAAAAGACATAAATAAACAATTAAATACTTCACACCTCGGCACCAACTATCAAACATGTCACTGTCACCCCTACCCCCCCACCTTCCCAGAAAAGGTTTGGTGGTTTTCAGTAGGCTTACAGTTTTTATCTTATATAATATCTCAGACTAAAGTTAGGAGAATATAATTTGCATTGCTGGAATCCTTGCAAGACAGCGAATAATTTGAATATAAACGTCATATACAGTATTTTGCACAAAAGATTAAATTTTTGCTCTCTCTAATAAAATGCTTAAATTAGATCTAAAATTTGTATGTCTAATGCAAATTATTGCTTGTTTATATTCAAATTAATCACTATCTTATACGAATTCCAGCAATGTAAATTATATTCTCCCCGGTCACTTCTATGCAATTTTATGAGCAAAAAAACAAAAACTGGACTAAACAACATAATTAAACAAATTTATTACTTCACCAGACCTTCCCCGCTAACTGTCAAAGTACACCTCACCTCCCACTCCCCCACCTCTTCCCACGCTCTCCCTACCCCCCCCACCTTCCCAGAAAAGGTTTGGTGGTTTTCAGTAGGCTTTAAGTTTTTATCTTCTGTAATATCTCAGACTAAAGTTTGGAGGATATAATTTGCATTGCTGGAATCCTTGCAAGACAGCGAATAATTTGAATAAAAACGTCATATGTTTTGCAAAAGAGATAAAATTAATCACCTGTATCACATTACAGTCGTGATTTAAGAGTAAGAGTGTATATGTACGCATATATATATTTAAGGGCGATTTAGAGGAATTTTAGGAGTGTTTCTGACTATGCATTTTTGCCTTTATTTTGTATATACTTTTCTGTGAGCTGGAACCAACTACCCAATATCCCATTGAAACAATGGTTTTGGTTAACGAACGACCCTCTGGAACGAATTGAGTTCGTTAACCGAGGGACCAATATATATATATATATATATATATATATATATATATATATATATATATATATATATATATATATATATATATATATATATATATATATATATAAAATCTAAAATGGGTTTCTTTTTCTTCTCAGCACCACAAAACTCTCACTTTTAAGCTTGCCAGCCATTTTAAAGTGAATTACAAACGAAAATTTTGTCAGTACACAGCGCAATCACCAACAATGGGACTTGAAAATACGTAATTTGACAAAATTTTGGTACGACGACTGAGGCGGTCGTATATCCAGATGGTCGTAAGTCGAGTAGGACGTAAGTCGAGTAGGACGTAAGTCGGGGAGTAGGTACATATACAGTAAACCCTGTATAGTTCGGCAAATATGGGGCTCTGGCCTTGCTGAGTTATCCCAAATTCCGACTTATCGAGGAACTCCCCCCCCTACAAAAATACAATACAAAATTATCGACCCATATATGTGTACATGTAATTACTAAATGTAAAAAAGTAACACTTACCAGCACTGCAGGCGAAGAGTGAAGCATCATAGTAGGTGACACAGATGCATGGAAGGTGACGCAGGTGACCAGTTATGCCAAGATTTGTCCAGATAATTTTATATATCTCAACATTTCCCGAGTTATACTATAATACATTCCAAGACAATATCCATGCCGAGTTACTGAGGGTTTACTGTATACTTGTATATGAAAATAATGAGATAACTGTAACAGACATGGCTACTGTAAGTAGGCAGCTGTAATACAAGAGTTTAACAAATCTTCAAAAGTAAGCTTCTAAATTTAATAAGCTTAATCTTACACTTACTCGGTACAGGCTGATTAACTTTAAATGAAAAATCTAAAAAAAAAAAAAAAAAAATATATATATATATATATATATATATATATATATATATACCGACAATCCTTATCCGAAATCCTTGGGGCCAGAGGCATTTCGGTTTTCGGAATTTTTCGGTTTTCAGAATGGTTAGTTTTTTTTTTTTTTTAGCCCACCCGGGCATAGATCACTGACCCACATTTGCCTGGGGATCGAAAATATAATAAAAATTATAATAATAATAATAATAATTCATAGGTCTAGGTCGTGTTTCTCACTTTTGATCTTTTTTTCATTCTTGTATTTCTATTATTATTTTATTTTTACTGTATTATTATTATTTTATTATTACAGTATTATTATTATTAATTTTATTATTATTATTTTATTATCATTATTATTTTATTTTGGTGTATTTTTATTAAAATTTTTATTTACTATGATTATAATTATTATTATTACTATTACATTTTCGCCCCCCAGGCCCCGATGTGGGTCAGTGATCTATGCCTGGGTGGGCTAATCCCTAAGGAAAGGAAAGGAGAGAAAAAAAAAAAAAAAAAAAAAAAATTGTCCCCCAAATTTGTTTTCGGGATATATATATATATATATATATATATATATATATATATATATATATATATATATATATATATATATATATATATATATATATATATATTATACTTAAAATCTGCCTTTATTCAGTAGCCTCTGAAGATGTTGAATAAAGACGAAAGCTAAGGTGCCCGTTGTCCATTTTCCCGTGTGATTTTATCAAGATTTATCTTATCCACGCTTTCATTGTGATTTACATGATATATATATATATATATATATATATATATATATATATATATATATATATATATATATATATATATATATATATATATATATATATATATATATATATATATATATATATATATATATATATATATATATATATATATATATATATATATATATATATATATATATATATATATATATATATATATATATATATATATATATATATATATATATATATACAGTGATCCCTCGGTTAATGAGCGCCTCGGTTAACAAAATTTCGGTTAACGAATTACCTTCCATAAGATTCTTCACTTCGGTTAACAAGCAATCCCTCGATTAACCAATTCCTTATGAGCGCCCCTCAACGTGTTTTCGCTTGCTCACTAGCTGTCGTATTAGTCTGCCAATACAGTAATCAGTTCTAGGGCTTAAATTCCTTACTATTTTAGTAAATATCAAGAAGGTTGTACTATTCAATCATTTTAAAAGTTTCATATTAATTTTTTTAGTCATTTTAACAATTATTGAACATAATTGAAGTACAGGAAACTAGTTTTATGAGCGCCAAACAGCCACTCAACACACCAAGCTTGGCGTCAGTTTGTTTACAGGTACAGAGGAAGGAACATCTTGTTTGAGACTTCAACATAAATGCCTTTTTTCTGTTTCCAGTCAAATTATTGGTCATTTTGAAATATATTTTACATATTGATAATATATAGCTCAGTGCAGTGTTGATTTAAAAAAATAATCTTGAATTACACCAAGTGAACTAAAATTTTATGGGTGAAATGGCGGCATGGGGTGACTTCTCTTCCACCCCAAAGCCTTCTCTTCTCCCTTCTCCTCCACCCCCATTCTAATTCCCATCATTATCATCATCATCAACCAGGAGCCTTCTACATGCACACCTCAAAGTAAGTGTACTTTACTGCATTTATTTTTCGTTTTTATGTAATTTTCGGTGAGCTGGAACCAATTACCCAAAAACCCATTGAAACAATGGTTTCGGTTAAAAAAAATTTTGGTTAACGAGCAACCTTCTGGAACGAATTGTGCTCGTTAACCGAGGGACCGCTGTATCACAAATTTCAGCACAGCACAGAAGAAAAACAGTCAGTTACACAACTGTTATTTAACTCCTGAGTGTGGTAGGAGCCATACACTCTGGCTGGGTCTTTAGTGGGTAGAGGTGAGGTGAGGTGGCCAGCAGCAGCACCACCTACAACAATAACACAAGTGGCATCACACACAAGACAGTGGCCGATAAACTGCACACAAATGTATAAATTTTATCGATTAATATACATACATCCCTTGTTAAAATGACATACACTGAACAAGTATAGTCAGCAATTCACTAAATAGGTTACAATTACCAGTTACATATATTAAATCACATAATTCATAATACAAGTTTCCTTAAAACTCAAGTAAAATTATAGTACTGTACTTGTACTACAGTGTAGTTTAATTTCTCATGTGCCTTCTTGCTCTCCATACTACCACTGCCTGAAACTTTCAGTTACCAAAAGAAAAGAAAAAGTTTCCAGTTAGAGGTCCCTGACACAAACCCTTAATGTTTAAGACTAATTCTCAACTACTGAAAAGTAACTTGAGTTTGTGTCTTACAAGTCCAGTAATACAGTAGTTTGGTCTCCAGTTAGGTAGTATCTCTTGGTATCTCAGCAACATTATACTTCTCTCACCCAAAAATTTGTCTCGGTAAATTACTCAGCCTTCATCTTCTTATTAAGCATAAATAATAATAATAATAATAATAATAAAATAAATATATATATATATATACTGTATATAAAGATACACCAAAATAAATTATTTACTATTAAAGAACTACAGTGTACTATAATACTTAAAAGTAGCTGGTTGACACACCTCAGTACAGTACAGTAAGTCACACATTATGAGTGAACAAGTGTATGGATCACTAGCAACTTTAATAATAGAGGATAAGTGATACTGTACTTAGACTTTACTGTACAGTGTACTTACCGTATATATATGAAGTAATTAGCACCATTTACAAGATATGAGATTAATGGTAACAGAGTTAATTAAAAGAATGATGCAAATATAATATACTGTATGTCAAAATTAAACGGCAACAGACGTACAGCGAGACCAACGGTGTGACACAAGTGAATGAATGTGTTACACAGGATAATGTTATGAATGGGAGACTCATAAAGGAAAAATGTGCACAATTTACACATCAACATTGCTCTTGAACAAAACATCTTACTCACCCAACCTGCATGAAGCAACAAAACTATTATTGAGATTCATGTGAACATAGTTACTCCAGTCACAAGTAAACAAAAACAAAATATATGAAGAAAAATACAAACTAGAGACCGATTATGTTATTTCTTCATTTTTACCTCAAATGAGACAGATGCCTTTAATGTTGTTCTCTAAATGTATGTGTTGTGAACTACTGGTGTCAAGTTGGGCAGCTCCTTGCCAACTAACTACAACAGATGGTTTTATTAAAAAATAAACACAAGCATACAACAAACTAGCTACTATACTAGCTTTCTATATATACAGTACAGCCTGTATTCATGTATATATGTGAAACACTTACTGGCTAAAAGGAAAAGTATGATGTGAAGCTTACTGGTTAAAGTGCATGACTTAGTGAGCTCTCATTTTGTGTGTGTGTGTGTGTGTTGTAATATACAACACTTCTTATCACACCCAAGAAATAACTAGAGAAGAGGTGCTGTATAACCTTAGACAATATCAACACTATGTTTGGCAAGTTTTGAGATGCAAGACAGTCAACTTCTAAAGTCCATTTACCTCTCCCACTGAACCATGACAAACCCTGAGATTCAGACTCATGAATTTGAATCACTTATGGACAAAACAATGTATCAGTCTACTGCTTCGGGTTCACAAGTCTGAATCTTGGGGTTCGTGGTTCAGGGGAAAGGTGCGAGGAATTTATTAGTTATTTTCATCTACACATAGTTCTCCAGCACTGACCACACACAACAATATGGTCACAAGCAATAACTCTTAAAATTAGTCAAATATCCCATCAATATAATTAAATATTAACTCATACTATTTGGTAAATATGACACACTACCAAACAATTGTTCACCTAAAAAAAGACACTTAACATTTGTTACATTCACAAAATACACCATCAAACATTCTAAGTATCTTGGAATTATTGTGAAAATTCAATCTATATCTCTAAATTATTGCAAACTTCCACTAATTATGTCTCCAATTTACTAAAAACATTCATTCCAATTATCTCCTGAGTACTGTAAACATTCACTTCTAACTTTTCAAACTACTTACAACATTCACTGTCCATCCCCAAACTAATTTAAACATTCATCTTCTCTCCCACCAACCTAGTGTCAACATTCACAACCTTCATAAATTTCCTTAGTAAATAAAAGTACCTTCACTTTATTTCCTCCATCGACAAAACATCTTGAGTGAGTAACAACATCCTTGGTAACGGAACCAGTGAAAAAATAAAATGGCTGAACACTTGCTAGAATTAACTAACTACCATACAAGCATAAGAAACATTAAAAGAATTCATTATACTGTACTACTAGGGGGCTACAGTATCACAACTAACAGATTCTGGCATGTCTGTGGTCAAGTGATTATCGTTCTCCTACAATATTAAAAAGAGTCGTTAGATTCGTCTTCGAGATAGAGAATATTAGTCCAATACCATCTACTGTATAATGCCTGAATGATAGAAGATGTCTGAGAGTGAAGTTTCTGGGTTAAATCTACAGCAGGAAGACAAATACCGTTAATCCATTCCAACTCTACTTATCTTCTTTTTTTTTCTTGTACGATGAGGGAAGCGCATTTTCTTTGGATGTACAATTTCGTTATAGAGAAAAAGTTTGGGGAGTGTGATTGTCTTTTTTTCTGCCTCATATGTGCTGGATCAGTCATGACAAATACTACTGTAATTTCATACATAACTGGCTGGGTACTTGATGTCAGATGAAAAGTCTTCATTATTTATAGAAACATGGATCACTTGATGATTGAACACCATAATGTTAATTAATCCAATCTAACTTAATCTTCTCCAGGTGGCATTACCGTGGTTAATCTTTAGTACATGAAATAAGCTAGGGTGCCTAACCTTCAGGTGATCCCAGACACAATGATGATTTTCTAATTTAATCCCTTAGAAGAAGCCCGCTGATAGATGAAGTACTATGCCTTCAAAAAATACCTAGAAATACCACAATTTTTTTTTAATGTTTATGATGAAAATTAAATAAAAAAGGTCCCAGAAAGGATCCTACAGTAGGCGATGAAGTACAGTAACTGACTGGAGGGGGTGCGATGGTATGGTGTTCATGTATCAAGCTACAACTGGTTGACCTAACCATGAACTGGGAACCATCTTCACATATCTTTTATATAAACCAAAGGAAAACTTCACAAACTTGTGTACTCATTCAAGGTAAAGGTCATGACTGGGACAGCACTGAGGCATAAAAATGTAATTAAAACACTTCATGAATACGTTATAAAAATTTTAAGTATAAAAAAGATCTATGATAATTTGTCTCATATTTACCAAAGTTTTATAATATTACAAGAGGTTCCCTGAATAATTAAGAGTATTTATACACAGCCAAAAACACTACAGCTGTTAATCAACCCAGATCAATTAGAGAGCAACTTTCAAATACAAATCCCATTTTTAATAATGTGTATTTCAACTACCAACTTGACTGACCTTATTCATGGCTATCCATTATAGCTACATTACTACAGAAACAAGGTTGTGCCACGACAGATGAAGGTAAGGTATATACATAAGTACATTACGATGGGGTCATGGGTATAGGCTGCCGAAAGCAGCGAGGATGTTGTGTGTCTGGGTCCAGGTAGAGAACACCGCACACTGCTGAGAAACCAAAGATGATGAACAGTAGCTTGAGTAACCTGTTCTCACCATTGTTCATCTCGTGAGGTAGAACCTGTAAAAAAGGACTTGATATCAACACCAATACTATACTGTACTGTCCACAACCTGAGGAAACAATACAGACAGTCCCGAGTTACGAAAGGCCAACTTATGAACACCCGCACTTACGAAAGGGATCCCAATATATCATTATTATATAAGTCTGGGCTGTTAATGTTATTTTGTATGGGCAGGGTTGTCCTCTAACCTAACCCATGGAATTAACACTTCTGACTTACAAACAGGGTCCAAGAACGTAACCCGTATGTAACTCAGGGACTGCCTGCATATCAATTTACTGTATTCCCTGTAAGTAATATCTCCATAAGCCGGAATCCCTCTTAACTGGAACTCTCCGATAGCCGGAATTGAAATTTTCTCGGAAAATCGTTCCCAAAAGCCGGTATTTTCTGGAAAATTCTGACTTTGGGAACGATTTCCCGAGGGGAACATTTTCTGGAAAATTTTTAGGAAATTTTTACGGTACCCGGAATATTTCGGGGATGGGGGAGTTTTTTCAGGGTTTGGGAGATAAAAATCATGCGTATTTTTCGGAAATTCCGAGAAATTTTTCTGGTACCCGGAAAATTCCAGGGATGGGGATTATTTTTCTGGGTTCGAGAGATGATGTAATGCGTAATTTTTGGAACTTCCAAAAAAAATTTTCCATTACCCAGAAAATTCCAGAGATGAGGGATTTTTTTGGTTTTGAGAGAGAGTCGTCTCGTTACCCAGATATCTTTCATTCCCTCAAGTGCTCTGCACCAATTGTTACGGCTTACAGAGATAGCATTTACAATGTATTGATTGTATTAGAGACAGTTGGCACAGAACACAAAACAGTTTACTGTATCTGACTACCGGTATGAAGACAAAAATGTTAAACCATGTAACAAAAAGGCTTTCAAAAGCGAGTCAGTCATATCCAACATCATTAGTTAAGATTACAAAAGGTCCCTCGGTTAACGAGCACAATCCGTTCCAGCAGGTTGCTCGTTAACCGAAAATCTCGTTAACCGAAACCATTGTTTCAATGGGTTTTTGGGTAATTGGTTTCAGCTCACCGAAAATTGCCTAAATTCAACAAAAATGTTAGAAATTGACACTTACTTTGAGGTGTGTATGTAGAAGGCTCCTGGATGATGATGATGATGGGAATTAGAATGGGGGTGGAGGAGAAGGGAGAAGAGAAGGCATTGGGGTGGAAGAGAAGTCACCACATGGTGCCATTTCACCCATAAAATTTTAGTTCTCTTGGTGTAATTCAAGATTATTTTCTTTAAATCAACACTGCACTGCATTATATATTGTCAATATGTAAAATAAATTTCAAAATTACCAATAATTTGCTTGGAAACACAGAAAAAAAGCATTTAGTTGATGAGAGTCTCAAGCAAGATGTTACCTCCACTGAAAACAGAGAGAGACTAACGCTTGTTTGGTGTGTTAAAAGGCTGGATGGCGCGCCACAAACTAGTGACCTGACCTTCAATTATGTTCAATAATTGTTAAAATGACTAAAAAATTTAATATTAAACTTTTAATATTATTGAATAGTATAAACTTCTTGATATTTACTAAAATAGTAAGGAATTTAAGCCCTAGAACCGATTACTGTATTGGCGGACTAATACTACAGCTGGTTGACCGCCAAGTGCAAAAGAAAACTTGTTAAGGTCGACTCGTAAGAAACTCATTAATCGAGGGATTGCTCGTTAACCGAAGTTAATAATCTTATGGGAGGTAACTCGTTAACCGAGGCGCTCGTTAACCGAGGGATCACTGTATCACAAATAAAAGGAAATTTTACACTCTAAATTGAAGAAATTTATACATCAGCAGAAATGAGCAAGTTAGTGTGAAGAAATTATTACCAGCAGGAATACAAAGTTTCCTCCACTATGAAAGATGCAACGAGAAAATAAATCAGTGTTTTTTTTACAATATGGCCAAGTTGTAACCTCCCTGAAGGTCTGAAATTACACGGACTAACTATCCCAATACAGTGGTCCCTCGGTTAACGAACACAATTCGTTCCACAGTCGTGGAATCTATTATTTCAATGGGATATTGGGTAATTGGTTCCAACTCACAGAAAAAGTATACATACCAGTAATAGAATTAACAAAACATTAAATATAAACTAAAATACAGTACTGTACTGTACAGTATACTGAACAAAAATAAATATAAAACAATACTGTATTTTAACTTACTTTGAGGTGTGTATTTCGTATTCCCGGCAGCTTTGTTTACATATCAAACAGCTGATTGTAGAGGCAGTCGGTGGTGACATGCCATATACTTTACAGAGTGCATTGGTTCTAATGCTTTCTTCGTGTTTCATAATAATTTCTGCACTGTATATTATCAATATGTTAACTAAATTTCAGAATGACCAATATATAATTTTAATGTAAAAATGCAAAAATATTCAAGAGACCAAACTCGATGTTCACTCCACTGTAAACAAAGTTAAACTGAGAAGCATTGGTGGGTGATTCAATCAGCTGATGGGTGCACAAAAACTGTTCCCTGTACTGTCTATTTATCAATATGTTAACTAAATTTTAGAATGAAGAATAATTTTAATATGAAAAATACAAAAATATTCAAGAACACAACCTTCTTGATATTTACTCCACTGGAAACGAATGTAAACATAGAACAGATTACTGTATTGGTGGACTAGCCAATCAGCTGATGTGCACAACAAAACGTGTGTCTCGTAAGGCTTTCGTTAATCGAAGTTTTGTTCGTTAATCGAACTGAAGATCCTTATGGGAGCTAATTCGTTAACCAAAATTTCGTTAAACAAACCATTCGTTAACCGAGGGACCACTGTATATTCTCATTTAAAAAAAATCAAAGAATCCTAGTATTTTAGGCATCAGACACATATGACAAGCACATTTGTATGTTACCGTTACACTGTTACCAAGTCTCTGGCACAAACTTACCTCAAAGAATGTCACATACAGGAAGGTACCACAAGCAATGCCCTGGAGTGATCCTGATATGGCAGCAGTAGTGAAAGATGCCTGCATCTCCATAATGCCCATGCCAATACCCACACCCAGGGGTGAAGTCACACAGAAAAACATATTGGCCATCAGCATCTGTTGATAAGAGAGTTAAAATAATGTACAAATGATCAGCAGTCATTTACCTAAACCAAGAAGAGTAACAGTGTAGAAAATTATCTTGAGAGGTTTCTTGTATTTCCCCTCCTTATGTCCTCTCACACTCCCTGTATGATACTCTCTCACACCCCGACTCTCCCAAAGCATACCTCTCCTTTACCCTTCAAGCCAAAACATCCAGCTTCCTTGGAGGGGATTAAAAGAATTCAGCTTTAAGACTGACAAACAACACACCTGGGACACAGAGAGCTTGGATTGCACCATGTTGAGGCCGAGGGAGAAGGCTATGATACCTTTATGGAAGATCACCACCAGGAACAACCCGACCACATCATCGATACTGCCCTGTAGGCCAACTGCCAGCCCCTCGAAAATCTGTTAAAAAGATATAAAAAATATATCAAAATGTAAAAGGTTTATCAGAACCATAACCCTCTGGTAAATTGGGGTTTTCCTGTAATATAAAGTCCTTGGGATAAAAAAAAAAATATATATATATATACAGTATATATATACAGTATATATATATATATATATATATATATATATATATATATATATATATATATATATATATATATATATATATATATATATATATATATATATATATATATATATATATATATATATATATATATATATATATATATATATATATATATATATATATATATATATATATATGCAAGTAAATCACTGTAGGTGCGCGTGATCTAGGTACAGTGGGGTATGCTATAACGAACGGATCCTACTACGAATATTCCTATAACGAACGGTTTTACCTATAAAATTGAGAATGCTATAACGAACGAAACTCCTACAACGAACATTATTTAAAATTTTTTTTTTTTTTACTAATTTATTGTTTTTTTATTACAAGTATTAATGATATTGGTTATTTCAGGGGTTTAGATGCATATTTATGCACTTTTTTACAATTTTATATTATATTTTTCAGTGTTAAGTGGTTGTATTTGGGGGCCTGGAACGGATTAATCCTATTACGAACGAATGCTATAACGAACAAGGTTCTAGAACCAATTAGATTCGTTATAGCATACCCCACTGTATATGCTGATAACCACAAGGGAAGAAGAAAACACGAAGTTCCCAAGCGCTTTCGTGTAATTCACATCTTCAGGGGTGAGTACAGACTAGAGAGAGAAATACAAATCAAGGTGTATATATACAGAGGAGGGTGAGACCAGGTCCACAATGGTCAGGTATTAGGTAATGACCCTACTAATCTTTAAATAGCACACAACGGTTGGTGGTCAGGTCAGATGGTCAGGTGACCCGGCCTTCTCACCTGGTCACAAATCTTCTTAATTACAAAATTGTCCAGCTTGTACATGCCGTTACTCAAATTCATGTTGAATGCTTCGGTATGTTTAATAAGACTAGATTCTATGATGTTCCTACTATCAATTGAATTACATGGTAATATTGAGGAGGCATTATCCCAGTCAATGCAATGCTTGTTATCCCTCAAATGAACAAACAGAGCATTGGATTCCTGGCCTGTCCTAACACTGTATTTGTGTTGTTTAATTCTAGTTGCAAGATCTTTACCTGTCTGGCCTAAGTAAAACATATTACATTCCTTGCAAGGAACTTTATAAATGCAGCCAATTGTGTTGTTGGGGGAGTTCTTGATTAACATTTGTTTAACAGTGCATGAGTTTTTAAATGCCACACTGATGTTCCAGGTTTTTAGTTGTGAAGGAATGTGTGAGAAATTTTTGTGAAATGGTAATATTAAGATATTCTTATGGTCATGGGTGGGCTTGGGATTAGTTCTATAAAAAGTTTTCTTAGTAATGTTTAGGCATTGTCTATGAAAGATCTAGGGTATTTAAGGTTTGAGCCAATATTATATATATATTTGTATTCCTCATCGATGAATTCCGGACTGCAAATTCTCAAGGCACGTAAAAACATTGTTGAAAATACAGGCCAGGAATCCAATGCTCAGTTTGTTCATTTGAGGGATAATAAGCATTGCATTGACTGGGATAATGCCTCCTCAATATTACCTTGTAATTCAATTGACAGTAGGAACATCATAGAATCTAGTCTCATTAAACATACCGAATCCGTCAACATGAATTTGAGTAATGGTATGTACAAACTGGATAATTTCGTAATTAAGAAGATTTGTAACCAGGTGAGAAGGTTGGGTCAGCTTACCCTCTGTCCTGACAACCGATTGCTGCGGTGCTTTTTGAAGATTAGTAGGGTCATTACTAGGGCCCGGATAGTTATGCATTTGCATATTTCATATGCAAATGCATATTTTGCGTGATTTCTATGATAAGTGCATATTACCTAGATAACTGCATATAAATGCATATTTTGGTAAAATATTCATCTGGCAGTATCTCTTTGTTGCCACTGAATGAGCACACGTGGTACTGGGAGGTGAGGTGAGGTGTGGTTAGGTGAAGTGAGGTGAGGTCACGTCGCTTTAATCTGTCGTTTCCACACCTGGTCATGACTCATTGGACTAGTGAGTTAGTCAGTCAGGAGCAGTGCTGCTGTGTGGAGCTACTCTCTTCTGCTGCTCGTGAAAATGCCGAAAGTACAAAGAAACCAAAATGAAGTGCTGAGATCATATGTAAAGGAATTTGATGCATTTACTACTGATGGAAGTGTACTGTTTTGTAAATATTGTGAAGCACCAGTGACAGCGAGCAAGAAATTTCAAGTCCAACAACACCTTAAAACAAGCAAACACATCCGACTCGAAGCTGTTAAGTCCAATAGTGCACAAAAGGAGCAACAACTACTTCTTGCATGTTCCAGTAAGTCAGGGCCTGATCGTTCCCAGTTCAACGCAGATTTGTGCAAGGCATTTGTTTCAGCGGATATTCCATTGCATAAACTGAATAACAAGTGCCTAAAGTCATTCCTGGAACAGTATACTGGATGCTATTATTGACGAGACGGTACAGCCACTCACTATGTCAGACCTCCTATGTATGAAACATGCACCAATCGTCTCGTGTGATGTAGAAAGGGTGTTCTCAGAATATAAAGCTATGCTGACAGACAACAGGCGGGGTTTTAACTTTGAGAACTTACGCCACCATGTCATCATCAAATGCAACCACAATCTGTAATGTCTGAAAATATGTCAGTCTATAATGTAAATGCATGTTCATATATATTTTTTGAAGCACTTTCACATATATATGTTAAATACATTACGTATATTGCTTAATAAACATTAACATTAGTTTATATTAACTATTTTGTTTCCGTATAACCTGCATTCTTGGCTTTATAAGTGACATTTTAGTGCATATAAATGCATATTTCATGGTTTTTTAGTGCATAACTATCCGGGCCCTAGTCATTACCTAATACCTGACCATTGTAGACTTGTTCTCACCCTGCTCTGTATATATATATATACCTTGTTTTTGTACTTTTCCTTAGTCTGAACTCACCCCTGAAGATGTGAATTACACGAAAGCGCTTGGGAACTTCGTGTTTTCTTCTTTCCTTGTGGTTATCAGCATATACCTGGATCACGTGCACCCACAGTGATTTACTTCCATATATATATATATATATATATATCACTTACAGAATGGAGAGAGAGAGCAAACAGCAGTAGGAGTGAGCGCAGGGAGGAGTGGGAGGCAATATCGTGGTGGATGGAGTGATCAAAGAGGTGGTGGGAATGTCCATGACCTTCCTCAGGTTCACAGTCATCAGCTGCTGTTCCATACCCATGATGTGAACCTCCTAATGAACCAGTTTCACTTCTGCAATAAGATATAGGTCTTTATAAGTGCCATAATCATTGTTTTTAAATACATCAACACTACATGAGCCACATTTCTTTTGCACAGTAGTGTCACATGTCGACTCACTGCACAATTCCAATATAATACAGTACTGTACAAACACTCATGAATACCAACCTATGATGCAGGTTCACACTCATATTTCTCTCTACGTTGTGAATCAAACTAATCCTCCAAAACTGTCATTATGGGGGGCTACAATTACACACACACACACACACCGCTTCTTGTCCGATCAGCGAAGTTAAGCAATGCTGGGTCTGGTTAGTAGTACTTGGATGGGTGACTGCCTGGCCCTAAGAAGAGCAGATGCTGCTGGCATAAGGACTCTACTGGAAACAAGCATCTCATGGCTTTTGTCAGCTATTCTTAGTCAAATTGACTAAATATCAGTTATTATTAATCAAAATATTAGTGTTGAACTTGCCTTATTGATGCAGTGAGGTCAGGCTGGTCAGAGATGCCACTGAGGCTGTGCTGTTGCTGGAGGTTGCGTCTCCTCTCGTTTGGTTCACTTAACAGGGACTGTGCTTCAGGTGGGCTGAAATAGCGATACAATTAATCAAACATACATACAAAGCATATAGTGAAACCTCGAGCTAACAGAAGATGTGTGAGAGGGCAGTTTGTTATATCGAGGTCCTTTAGATGTAAAACCTCCATCTAACGAACTATAGAGATGAAAGTCCATTATAGAGAGGGTCTGTTTGATGTGACACCCCCATCTCACAGATTATATGAAGAGGGAAGTCCATTTTATAGAGGTTTCACTGTATCCTGAACCCATCAACCATTCAACCTTAATTCCAAACTATATAGATAAAACAGCTACACCAACATTCATGAAAAAAGGTGTAAAACTGATGATGAATAACTCTTCTACTGCTCAGTGATCATTCATTAGGGGACATCACTATTTTGGGAATGGTGGAAATACTGCAACACTTCACAACCTGAGTTATCTCTCTTTTATCACAAACATCCTTGATGATTGTCTCTATCATCACCAGTAACCTAATGACACAAAGAATGCTTGTTATTAGTAATTCAGAGTATAGGAATGTATGTCAATGACTTTAATAATATACTATCAGATAAGATTATCACACACCCACAGTCTAAGAAGCGGTGCAAATCATTAGCTATGATGTCAGTGAATACAAGAAATTTATAATACAATAAGAGAATGTAGGACGTTTGGGCCAGGGTGGATAAGACATTTCGGCCATGGGTCAAGGAACCGTAATATAAATAACAATGTCCACCTTACATACAACTCATAGCCCATACGTCCAGGGCACATGGCCCAAATGTCTGAATACTGTACTCAGTAAGCATTGTGGTTTGTCTCACACACACACACACACACAAACACACACCAGTGTCTTATATTCATGTGCAGAATTTTTCAAGTCTCTCTCTTTCTCTCTCTCTCTCTCTCTCTCACACACACACACACACACACTCACACATACACACACACACTACAGCCAGATTCTTCCCGTTTAATCAATACTTTAAACCCTCTTCTTTCTCTCCTTCCTTCCATTACTCCGTATACTTCATCTTCTCAATATCCCACTTTGTTAAACATTTCAACTGAATACTATACTGTATTTCAGTTCTTTTACAAACTCTAGTTATTCTCCATTGACAGAACTCAGTTTGTTTGTCCTTTTAAAAGACTACAATATTTCTTTTTGCCCTTCTTCCCTATAACCTTCACCAAAAACAACAGAAATTAAAATGCATATGTACTGTACCAAAACAAAAATATCTTTATAAACAACAGTGAGTTTCGACATACCCTCGGAGTAAACTGGTTTCCTTATAGTCCAGTACAATCTGTTCCATGGCGAGTACGAGGAGGAAGCCGAAAACGACGATGAACTCGGCGACGGGGAAAGAACTCATCACAAAGCTCTGATCCATGAGAACATCCAGCTGTTCCTGCACATCTGGGAACAGGTCCATGATGCACGTCCCCATGAAGACTCCTCCGGCAGAACAGGACATGAGGCTCAGCAATGTCTGGTACCTGTAAACAGCATTAAGGACTTGAACGGACTTTTGACGGAGTAAATTTTTAGTATTATGGTATACAGTACATAAAAAGATTGGACAGTGTGAGAATATCATAAGGGAAGATAGGTGTTAATTTCTTTTAATAATCTATTTCCAGGTGTTATTTCTTTCACCAAACCAAAAGTAATGACTCGAACTACAGTTCCCAATATAAACTAACCATAAAAAGATATAGGACAAAAAACAAAAAACAAATGGAGGACGTGAAAGAAAGAGCAACTGACCTGGAGCGACGGTTCGAGTCGTGTGTTTCCCTGATGTGCTTAACAAACATAATGGGTAACATGGAACACACAAAGGTGATAAGAAACATCACCACAAGGATGATGCCCTTGATTGTTACGATGTTCCACATTTTCTCCGGTGTTCTCGTTCCTGGGGCAAAAATTAAATAAATAAATCAGGTGTACGGATGTTGTTCAATACATGACCTCAAACTTTGTTATAATACAGGTATAAATTTTAGCTGTTCTTATTAGTGTTGGGTTGAATTAAATTGTCTATACAATATCTAAGGTTAAATTAGCTGGGGGACTACTCTTCAGGTGATTCACATCACCTAACACAAACTCTGCCTGAATATACAATTCAAAACTGTATCGGCTACCTACTGGGGCTGCTGTACTATATACTGTACCTTTATACAATATCTCAGTATACAGTACTGTACACAGAAAGACACAAAAAAAAGTTGTTTAACATAAACTGTTTGATCCTCAATGTCTACAGTGACCACAACTACTGTACCTCTCCCTTACTGAACCTATGAAATACTGTAACATAAGAACAAGAACATAAGAAAATAAGGAGTCTGCAATAGGCCAGTTGGCCTGTGCATGGCAGCTCCTGTCAAGAGTTACTACCACTCTCTATCATCCATGAATCTATCTAGTCTCCTTTTAAAACTTTCCAGGATTCCAGCACTTACTACAAAGTTGCTAAGCTTGTTCCACTCGTCCACCACCCTATTTGTGAACCAGTTCCTTCCTATCTCCCTCCTAAACCTAAACTTATCCAACTTAAATCCGTTGCTTCGAGTCCTATCCTGCTCGGATATTATAAGAACTTTATCTATATCCCCTTTATTGATTCCTTTCACCTACTTAAATACTTCTATCATATCTCCCCACACTCTTCGTCTTTCTAGGGAATGCAAGTTTAGTTTCTTTAACCGATCTTGATATGTTAGGTTTCTAAGTCCCGGAATCATTTTCGTCATTCTTCGCTGCACCGACTCCAGTGAATTGATATCCATATATCCATTCTATAATAAGGGCACCAGAACTGAACCGCATAATCGAGGTGCGGCCTACGCAAGATATACAGTAGTTGCAATAAAACCTCCGCACTCTTATTACTTACACTTCTAGATATAAAACCTAATACTCTGTTTGCCTTATTTCGAACATTAACGCACTGTTTTCTAGGCCGTAGGTCCGGGCTTACAAGTACCCCTAGGTCTCTTTCATAAGTCGACTTCTCCTGGTTGATATTGTTAAGGCTGTATACATTGACAGTATTTGTTCTTCCAATATTAAGTATGCTGTACTTGCTGGTGTTGAATTTCATTTGCCACTTTTCTGACCACCCCTGCAGTTTATTTAAATCCTCCTGTAGTGCATTTGCATCCTGCCCTGAATTAATCTGCTGCCCTATATGTTTTCAAGAGGTTAAGATATACATAGTACTAACACATCTCAATGCAATACAATCTCTATTAATATAAATCATAAACACAAATACTACATTATTAAAGAAGTTATATACAGGTATATTTAATTTTGTTTTATACACTAACCTTCAAGTAGAGCAGACAGGTGATGTGTACCCCTGAACACACAAATAAGAAATGGTCTCCTTGTAATGGCCTTGATAATGTCATAGTATTATCTTATTGACAGGAGATACACGTACAGTAACATTACCACATTATAACTATTTACTCTCCACTTCACCACACTAGTTATTACAGATCTGGGAGCCACAATCACTGTAACACACTGATATAAACTTATTGACACAGATTGGCAATATTTTTTCATTCTCTGGACACACACACTTTTGGTCTTACAGTATGTGTAGTGAAGCAAGAACTGTTTTCCGTCATTAGTAAATATGGTAAATTGTTATCATCACCACGCTACAAACTGTGTATATGTCATGATGTTTACCAAATTTAAAGGAAATTGATGTACTGATAACCTTTTTGTTTTACTTAGTGTGTGTGTGTGTGTGTGTGTGTGTGTGTGTGTGTGTGTGTGTGTGTGTGTGCATCAGTCAGGACACACGATTAAACTTTAACAATTGTTATTCAATTATAGAATCTCTCATTTGCATAAAACAGGTTAGGTGAAAATGACTACCGGTAAGAATGGTAAACCCTTTTCTTTAACATTAAGTTTATCATTTCAGTAGTGATGGGGGTAGCTGCACGCTGTGCTGTGTTGTGTTGACGGACAGTAGTTTAAGGTTTCACACCACTGTGCCCAGAAAAACTGCAGGACATTTGGTTTGGGCCAGGGTGATTAGAACCTAATCTAACCTAACCGTGGCTCAAACGTCCAGGGGCGTACCATAGGTGTTTAACCCATTGAGTTGCCTTGGAAAGTAATGTTCAGATTTCTCGTTCATTTTGTTATACTGTATGATTCTTAGTGTGACTAGTGTACAGGTAGACTCTCATAATCTCTTCCAAGGTGAGGTAAGCTAAACGTGCACATTAGACAAGAAGTTTCAGATAAAGACAAGACTCCCCAACCTCGACCCAGTGACTCCAGCACGAAAAATAAGGGCGGTGAGTGTTGTATATTTATTTGGTAAATTAAGCAAACAGTAATCAGTAAGAATTAAACTTTTTATTTTTATTTTACAGACACTGACAGAACTGTTCTCAATATACAGCAAGTTACAATTCCTTCATTCTTTATATATTCCAAAGGTAAGAAAAAAGTTTTGGGTAACATTTTAGATGCAGGACTCAAATGAAGGAGGTACTTTCGAACAAAAAAAAATTAAAATTATATACTGTTGATTTTCTCCTGGACATCCCAAAATAGACAGAGGAATTGTAACTTTCCTACTTTTGGGTTTCCCATGTGTTTATTAAGAGTAAATACGATTACTGCCACTTGGAATAGGTTGTCATGTTGGCCCTCCTCCTTCTGTTGGTCATAAATGACAAAATAATCCTAACCTAAGCAACCTACCTTTCCAATAGAAATCAAAATCAAGTGTTCAAAACACATAAAAAATCCATTGGAAAAAGTTTTGAATTTAACCTAACCTAACCTAACCTAACCGGGGGGCTCCACAGTCGTTCGATGTTCTGGGTGTTTACTGTCACATATGAACATGCATAATAAAATGTTATATATCTTGCATGTAGGTAATTAGTGCTAGAAATGCCATTGAAGAAATTTTTCTTAGAATTGACGAAATTACCTATTGTTGCTATAAAATTCACGATTCGTTTTGTGGCAACAAGTGAAATAATACCCCAGGGTTTTGTATTTTTTGTTTAATGGGTGCTGTAATGTCTGTGAAATATGTCTCATGGTAACACTGGATAGACCCAGGACAAAACTCCCTCAGGACAAGACCCTTAGGACAGAACTTCTTAGTAAAAAAAATATATGACAAAACCCACTTTGGACAAGACCCTCAGGACAAAACACCTAAGGACAACATATCCCTAAATAGAAGAAAAATACATTTCCGAACATCTATAATAAGTTAATAAATGGTAAATTGATAAGCAAATTAATATACAAAGTAAAGTAAAGGAATTTGCTGACCTGACACACACTGACTGTCTCCCGGAGTTACTTGATTTGACCTGACTGATTTGACCTAACACACACACACAAGCATTCTCACTGTCCCTCCCCTGACCTGACTCACAATCACGAGATAATGTTTCACCTTTGTTACATTATTATTCTGACACATATAACTTACCAAAACCTCCATCACACAACATAAAGAAAAGAGCATCACGGTTAAATTAGACTCAACTAACCTTTTTCTATCTCTTGAATACACCACCGTAGCTGAGGTTAAATAAGGACATGAGCTGCCTTCCACCCACCCTATGATCGTATCGCAACTGAGTGTTTACATTTACACTGGCTTGACTGAGGGAACCTTTATGTTTATCAACAACTAACTAAACTAATTAACTACTGATAATTAATGTTTTTCTATTAATGTAATTTAGAATTAATATAAAACAATATAATACTAATAATAACCACGCAGTCACTTCAAAGCTCAAAGCTATTAACAAGCAATTACATATACTACCCCACTATAAAATAATTATTAATGTTCTATCTCTTATAAATTTATTGAGGGATTTTATTATTTACCAGTGTAGAATAAATATAATAAAAGGTGAATATTAACCACACAGTCAGTTAAAAGTTTTGAATTGAATTGAATTGTAACAGTTTATTTAGCCAGAAAAATACAGATACAGAGTGGATAATAATAACAATATTAACATGGCTGAGCCAGTTGAGAACCTGAGCTCTCTTTGAGGCACCTGATATATACTATATATACGCTTTATAAACTGCAGCTTGTGTGCCTGATGTAGCCAGACACATTATACCGTCTCTGTCTCTCCCCTACAAACGCTGTTTGTTGCTGAGTAGCCGACCCAGCGAATTCCCCAGTGTATGCCTCGTGGTCTAGGTCAACCAGCGCCGCCTTACATGACGGAGGTCAACTACTAAGCCACGTCTACCTCCGCTATTTAAGACCTGACCTCTCTCTTTCTACCTACACCAACCAGCAAGCAACACCACCTCCTCCACCGTTGCCTGGCGGCCCTCGCTCCCGCCGGCGAGCATGGCGACCCACAAGCTGTCCTCCTCTGAGCATCCTCACCAACCAGCTCTCTCTACATCACGCTTGTAACCATGCTGCCTTCCCAGCACCAAGCTGCACTGTACATCCAATACAACATGTATACAGAGAGCACATTGAGTTTCCTTTCTCCATCCCATCCTGAGTGTGAACCAAACATCACTTACCCCACAATATAATGGAGCGAGACAAAGGGAACTCATTGTCTAGGATATAAGATGACTCAGATTAATATAACCTCAAATGTTTCCAAGTACAGATATTTTAATTAATTGCTAACCTTAGGATATACAGTATATCTAACTTTTTATTTATATACATATACAGTACTAATTTATCCTCTTCGTTATTGACCAGCTTCTTATGGGCGCTTGGTCGGTCTGTCAAACATTAAATATTACTTTAAATATCTAGACATTAACAGTATGATGAACTGATAGACCAAATATCGATAAGCTATCAGTCAAGCACTTTCACCAGTAAATACCGAGCTGTACTCCCGACACAACGCAAATATTGTTACTGGGAGGAACCAACCCAGTTTATCAATTAAGCTCCACCCACCTTATTTCACCTTAATATTAACTACCCTAACCTCACCAGGCAGTATTAGGGGGGGGGGGGTGTTCTTGAGGTGATCTCACTTGGCTTAACTATCATGTACTACAACAAAAAAACATTGAAGAAAATATAAAAGATTGAGAGGATGTTTTCAGGTTACAGAATAATAATAATGTAAAGATAACTTATTTAAAGCTACACACACACACGGCTGCAGAACTTTTTTAAATAAACCGTTAATTATTATTATTATTATTACACACACACACAGATACAGATAACAAGGTTCAGAGAATCTTATCTATTCACTTTACTTGTACAATTCAGCTGAAGATGAAAACAAGTAGCAATTGTATTACACACAGAGATATACAGACCTACACAGCTTCTGATTTGAACATCTTGAATATAAGTCATTATTTAGTTGCAAATGAAGCAACTGAATGTCCCTTTTAAAAATGGCCCACTAGTAAGGAAAAAAAGTCTTAACGCCCATAGAAAACGAACCAATCATAGAAAACATTTTAATATTTATTGGCTAACTATTTTTTTTAATCTACAGCTACTCTAAAGCGATGAATATATAGTCAATGCGGATCTAATACTCTTATGTACGACTCTGCTATCACCAAGAAGACTCTCTCATAGGTTTAGATCCTTTAATTTATGGCGACCCTTTGTTGTTCTCTCCGGGATTCAGGCGTCTATTCACCTCGAAATTGAATTCAGGCGAGCAATAAGATATGACTGTATTTATAGAGGATTCGAATTATAAAGGTTTCTTATCTCTTACACTACACAGTTGGATGAAAGTGATAACGTAGAGTTTTAATAGAAAGGTGTGTGAATATGTTGCCGCTGCTTGAACATATTGTGGGGTCCGGGTTATTTGGTTCACACTCAGGATGGGATGGAGGAAGGAAACTCACAATGTGCTCTCTGTATACATGTTGTATTGGATGTACAGTGCAGCTTGGTGCTGGGAAGGCAGCATGGTTACAAGCGTGATGTAGAGAGAGCTGGTCGGTGAGGGTGCTCAGAGGAGGACAGCTTGTGGGTCACCATGGTCGCCAGCGGGAGAGAGGACCGCCGGGCAGGAGGAGGAGGAGGAGGAGGTGTTGCTTGATGACTGGCTGTAGGTAGTAAAGGTAGGTCACCACGAGATGAGGTCTTATATAGCGGAGGTAGGCGTGGCTTAATAGTTGACCTCCGTGATGTATGGCGGCGCTGGTTGCTGACCTAGACACGAGGTGCGGCTGGATTCGTAGGTCGGCTCGTCAGCGACAAACAGCGTTTGTAGGGGAGGAATCCACTACAATATCGAGGAGAGAGAGAGGCCTTTCTCCAACTCACAACACATCGAACCACGAGTCCACGACACACACCATGAGCACTATTAACACCACCGCCCTTCAAAAGCTCACACACACACACACACACACACACACACACACACACACACACACACTACTCGCTTTTCTGGCCACATGACCTTCCTTTAAAACACACACACACACACACACACACACACACACACACACACACACACACACACACACA